ACACCTGCTTCTCAGTGAAATGTGAGATTGTGAGCTGTCAGTATGTGACACGTTCCCACGGCTCAACAATAAACACCTAGAACAGGCTGTGCCCTTGCCCACCTGTGTGTACGCCCACCTGCAGTGACCACTGCTACTTCCTGGAGCGTTCTCCGGGCCGCCTGACGCTCGCCTGGGTGAGCACAAACGTCACTTTTCCACTCCATTTTACCTGATGGCAGCACCCCCCAACCCTGGCCTGCACCCTGCTTCCCTGCCCTGAACGTGACCTGTGGAGCCACTCCCGCAGCAGAACACAGAGAACTTCCCTCTGCTCGTTTGCAGCTGCATAGTACTCCATTGTCCGGGGCGTCCGCTGACGTCCAGGGAGTTTCCGATATTGGCAGCTGCAGTCGAAGTGGGCAGCCGGGCACCTGCGCCTGGTGCGGGGATGTTAGCACAGCGCTAAGGCCCGTTCCTAGAGGGTTCCTGGCTGGTTCGCAGGGGTGGGCAGGTGGGCGGAGGGCCCTGCACAGGGGCTGTGCTCACCTTCCCCCCAGAGCCCTGGGTGAGAGCAGGGTGGCTGTCCACTGGGTTTGGGGAGTCTAATGAGCCACAGCCGCCTTCTGCAGAACTCTGGGACTTAGCCCCTTAATTTCTCCCCCAGGGCCTCTCCCCCCTCCTCCCAGGCCATCCTGTCAGAAAGTCGTGCCCCAGGTGCTCCCCACCCTGGCTGGGCCCCCCCACAGAGGGATTGGGGTCTCTGGGACGGCTCGGGGAATTGCTGTTCCCTCGCCCCTGCCTTGGAGCCGGCCTCCTCTCCCGACACATCACCAGTTACGGTATCGGTCCCCGGGCAACCCCAGCCCCTGACACCGCCTCCTGGGCTGCCCACTGCCCCCTGTTCTCCAGGCAGCCGCCAGAAGGGTCTTTCCAAGTCCTAATCATATGCTTTCTCAGACCCAAATCACCTTTTTGGAATCCTCCCGTGCTTTTTCTTTACGGCTTCAGTGAACCCCCTCCTCCCCCTCGGCGGAGGCCCTGAGAGCCTAGCCCGCCCCCAGCCCCAGGTCTCGCTCCCCAACCCAGGAACCCTTCCGGGTCCTGTCCTGCCTGTGCCCAGGTGCATCCTCCCTGCACCGTTCCTTCCAGTCCGGGGTCCCCAGCCACTGTCCCCTCCACAGGGAGCACTCCCTGTGGCCACAGCGCTGCCCCCAGCAACTCTGCTGCCTTACCCCCCGCCCTCGCCCTGGTCTCCCCGCTGCAGTGAAGCTGGGCTAGCACTTCCGGGTGTAAATCTGATACAGGGTGCAGCCAGAGGGCCCCCCCAAAAAACAGATTTGGAATGGTGTCCAGAATTCAAAGTGTATAGAAATATTGGAGAGACATATAAGATGTCCTCACCGCCCCCCCCCCCCCAGGGGGAAGGGATGAATGGAGCCAGGCCATTGAGAGCTGTTTTGCATGGCAACAGTTTTGGAGCTAACCTCTGGAGGAATGGTTATTTAACATATCTATAACCTTTAACTGGTTTCATAGATTTGTTAAATAAGTGTGGCCAAGTTTGGAGCCAAAGAGGAGAGAGAAGGTGGTGGCAGGGACTCAAGATGGGAACGAGGGGCTGCTCTCCTGAGTGAGAAGGCCTGGGAGAGAGAGCCACGCGGTTTCAGCAGAGTGAGGACCCCCTCTTGGTGAGGTGAAAGAGGGAGCCACGTGGTTTTGGCAGGGTGTGGACCCCCTCTTTCCCAGGTGAAAGGGAAGAACCACGCAGCTTTGCCAGAATGGAGATCCCTGCAGCCAGGTGAAGAAGACAGCCACATGCTTTTGGTGGAGTGCGGACTCCTGCAGCTTTGGTAGAAGAGGCCCACGCGGCTTTGGGGTGCCCCCTTTGGCTGCGGGGCCTGAAAAGCAAGAGAGACTTTGACTGGAACTGGGTACAAAGGACTCTTGCCAGTGGACCATGAGAGGGTACCACAGTACTTTGGATTAACTCAAGATCCTGCACAGTGACACAGCTGACGGTGCCAGCGGTCTGCAACACAGATATGTGCTCTTTTCCTGATTTACGGTACCCGGAGTTGGGACAGTGGGAGAAGGGAGTGCTGTGTGGGTGTAGGTGTACAACCTAAAGGACTTTGATATTTTAGTGGTGGCATTAGGCCTGAATAGCATTAAATAAATATTTTGTTTCCTTTTCACAAATCTCTGGCATTAAGAGATGTCTTTCCAATTGGCGGCGGACAGAAGGGCCCAGTAGATTTTAGTATTTTGTTTTTGGGAGGGGCCCCTGTTGTATAGCAGTTTTGGGCATCCCCAGGTGGGCCAAATATTGTACTGCCCCTCCCTCGGACCACCTCCTCTTGTTCAGTAACAAATCCACCCTCTCAAGTCCATTCACATCTACCCCCATTTAAAATGATGACATAAGAAGTGTCCAAACCTGCACCAATTTTTAAAATCCTCACCTAAAGACATTCTTATTGATTTTAGAGAGAGGAGAAGGGAGGGAGAAAGAGAGAGAAACGTCGACTGGTTGCCTACCATATGCAACCAACCAGACACACCTGCAGCCCAGGCACGAGCCCTGACTGGGGCTCAAACCTGCAGCCTTTTGTTCTGCCGGACCAGCCAGCTGAGACACACCTGTCAGGCCTGTAAGAATTTTTATGCGTTTATTTGAGCCAGACTGATGGCAGCTGCCGGGAAGCAGAATCTCAGCAGACTGAGAAAACGTTCCCAAGAATGGCGATTTTGCGCCCAATTCTGTACATTAGAATCGAAGGAGGAGACATAAGGGGGCGTAACAAGAGTCCACGGGTGGTAGATGAGGGGGCAGGAGAAAGCGAAGTGGGGAATCTCCGGGGTTGGATGAGGAGCGAAGCAGACAGACCGGCCCTTCCTCTGCGTGGGTGGGTCCAGGACAGGGGGCACTCACAGCCCACGGTGGTGGGGGGGACCAGGGTGGGCTCCGGGTGCAGGCCAGTGAGCCCTGGGGGCTGGGAGAGGGGACCAGGCTGACGTTTCAAAGGTCTGGTCCCCTCTTCTCAGTCATCAAGGCCTCAGAAACCACCATGAGGTTCTGGTCACCATCCAGTAGTCCTGTAACAGGGCACAGCCAAGGGGGGCCCTAAAAAGGGGTTTGGAGTGGGGTCCAGAACTCAAGATGTCCAGGAAATGTTAGGAAGACATATAAGATGTCCCGGCCCCTCACACACACACAGGTGTGAGTTGGGGAAGGGACAAATGGAGCAGGGCCATTGAGAGCTGTTTTGCATAGCAACAGGTTTGCAGCTAACCTCTGGCATGGTCATTTAACATATCTATAACCTTTAACTGGTTTCATAGATATGTTAAACAGCTGTGGCCATGCTCTGAGCCAGGGGGATGGGAGTGACTTCCACCCAAGATGTAACTGGGGCAGGTCCCCTGAGTTACAGCACCTGCGTGAGAGCTTGGAGTTGATTGGCTCCACACCGTGGGGCCACGCCTGCCCAGACTCACAATGGCAGCCCAGTAAACTTGGAATAATACAGGAGTGCTGGCAAGTGTAGCCAATTGTAGGAGGGGTCGGAAATGGGGCTGCAAAGGAGGACTGGCTCAGGGATTTAAATGCAGACTCGGCAGCCATTGGGGAGTGAACCACGCACTTTCAGCTAGAGTGGGGACCCCCGCAGCTGGGGGTAGAGAGAATCACCATGCAGCTTCAGCAGAGAATCGCCACTTGGCTTTGCCAGAGTGGCGACCCTCCCCTCCCCGCAGCTCTGGTGGAGGGAAGAACCGTGCGGTTTTGGCCAGAATACAGACCCCTGCAGCTTTGTAGAGGAGGCCCACATGGCTTTGGGGTGCTCCCTTTGGCCACGTGGCCTGGGAAGCAGGAGAGACCTTGCCTGGAAAAATGGGTACAAAGAACTCTTGCCAGTAGACCATGAGAAGATGCCACATGGCTTTGGATTAATTGGAGATCCTGCCTGGACGGTGACACAGCTGATGGTGCCAGTGGCGTGGAAACATGGACATGTGCTCTTTTCCTTGAGTTACGGTCCCCTGAATTAAGGCAAGGGAGAAGGGAGTGCTGTGCACTGTGTGCATAGGTGGCTATCCTAAAGGACTTTGATATTTTAATGAAGACGTTAGGTCACTATTTTAAGTCTGTATAGCTTTAAATAAACCTTTCCTTTCCTTTTCACAAATCGCTGACATTGAGAGACGTCTTTCCTCTGGCAGTGGACAGACGAGCCCAGTAGGTGGTCTAGACGGTATTAGTATACCATCCTTGGGAGGAGTCCCTGTTGTTCCGTGACAGTTTTTGGCATCCCTGGGGGGGCCAGATATTGCCCCCCCTTGGACCTCTGTTCTGTAACAGTCCCAAACCAAAATCTTCAGGTCCGTTGGCTGCAGAAAGAGTTCTGGTCAAACCTAAGGTAACATCTGGGCCTGCACTGTGTTTTCAGCTCCAGACAGACCCACCAAGCTGCAACCTTGAGAAACCAGACGCAGCTCCGCCAGGGCTGACGTCAGCCGTAGGGGGCGGGGCCTGGCCTCCTGGGACCCGTCTTTTTAATACGCTTGCAATGCCCGCAATGCCCGCACTGCTGTGGCTGCAAACTGCCGTTCATGTGTTACTGGGCTTCGACGTGTGGCTGCACACGGGCCCCTGCAGTCTGGGAACACCTTCCCCAGGTGAGCTGGGGCCCCTCCCTGCAGCTTATGGGGCTCTCCTGTTCACGGATGTGGCCTTCAAGGTCAATTCCAGCAACAGAAGGGTACGTTCCTACTGTGGCCCTACATGCCGCGCTGCAATTGCTGTCCAGCGTCCTCCCCCAATGTCCCCAGAAAGGGAGCGCAGACAGGCCCTTCCCAAGTCCCTGCTCATCGGTGAGAAGGGGAGGGCAGTGCCGTGGGGCTGGACCCACTGGAGACTTGACACGGAGTGGGGAGAACAGGCCTTTCCAGGCGCCAGGAGCCTGAGGGAGCCGCCGACACCCGCCCCCCACTCCCCAGAGGAATCACACCACAGCCGCTTCTGAAGGCAGTTTTATATCAAGCTGTAAGAACCTGGATCCTGTCCTGGATCCAGTACACACCTACGAAAGAGGTATTATCAAAAATAACATTAGTAACATCAAACAAGCTAACTCTACAAATGTACAAAGGCTCTTGTGCACCATCGACACGGGCCAGGTCCTGGCCAAGTACCTGGAAAGGGGGCAGGCGGCCCCCTGTGGCCCCTGAGTCTGAACCACCCTGGATGCAGAGAGGGTCCCTGGGGTGGGCAGAGGCCAGGAGGGCAGCTAACCCATCTTCCAGGGGAAGGACAAGGTGTCACAGGGCAGGGGGCAGATGGAGGCCACGGTGAGCAAACCCATGGCTCCCACAGACGCCGCGTCCTTCTCTCTGGCACCTGTGACTGTCAGGCTCCACGTGACGTGAGGGGAGTGGAGGTGGCGGGTGGAGTTGGGATTGCTAATCCGCTGATGTGACCAACGGAGAGGGTCCCGGGCCACCTGGGTGGGCCAAGGGTGATGAGAAGGGTCCTTAACGTGGACGAGGGAGGCAGGGGAGAAATGCTAGGGTGGGACAAGACTCTGGAATGGGGGGTGTGTGAGCCAAGATTTGGGGGAAGGTGGTCTCACAGCTGCAAGAGGCTAGGGAGCCCTCCCCTAGAGCCTGGGGAGGGACAGTGTACCCAGTGCTGGACAGTGTACCCAGTGCTGGATGCGAGCAGACCTGCACTGGCCTTCAGAACTGAAAACAAGTCTTGCTTTAAGCTGCTACATTTGTGGAAATTTGTTACAGCAGCAGGAGGAAACTAACACAGGGAAAGGGGTCAGAGGTCAAGCTTGCCCCACTCTGGGCCTGCACGGGGGTGCAGGCTGAGCCCTAGAAGACCCCGGAGGCCTCCTCTGGGGCCCCCCTCAGGGTGTGCCCATGGGCAATGGGAGAGACCAGGGTCTGAGCTAAAGGGGTCCCGGTGCAATCTGGAGGAGGGCTTGGGTGCTGGTGGGAACCCAGCATTCTGGGGAACTCCCCTTTCCGGGCCCCAGTAGGAGCTCCTCTTCCCCTTCTCGCTCTTCCAGCTGCCTTCTGTCCTGCCGACTTGCCTCGCCGAGCTGGCTCATCAGAGCCCTGGCGAAGGGGGCTCGGTAGGCAGGGCAGGGTCTCAGGGGTCTTTTCAGACTGGGAAATGCCCCACTGACAGGAGGGGGCCTGGGATTGCTGAGCCCTGGCCTCTCTCCCACCTTCAGCACACACACAAGCAATTGTCCCTTCTCAGGTGCGGCCTCTTTGGCTCCTCCCACTGTGGGAGCCTCTCAGTGGGTGCTCCTGCCCCTCAGGGCTGGTAACAGAACGAGGCCTGTCCAGTTCCACTGCCCGGGGGCCTGCGCCTTGGCCAGGGCCGAGCAGACGCAGCAGCAGAGGGCAGGGGGCCCGTGAGGGGCTGTGAAGCTGGTGCTGGTGCTGGTCTGAACTGCCCCCAAGGGGGGTGTGTTCGACGCTTGCTGAGTGCTCACAGGAGGTCAGGCCGCAGGAAAGCTAACCAACGTTTATCAGTGAAAACAGGGACTTGAAGGGCCCCTGTGCCCCGGCGCTGACGTCCAGGATGCTCCGGATGCTTTTGACCTCGCTGTTGGACAGGTTCCCCTTGATGGCCAAGATGGCGCTCAGGTGGCCTTTGCTGGCGAGGAGAACGTCCCGTCAGTCCAGCCCGGTCACCAACGCCCCTGCTCACACCCCGTCCCAGTTCCCCAGGCTCCTGGCCTGAGCGTGGTGCCCTGTGGCCAGCTCCCTGCCCACGTGGGGCTGTGCTGGCCTCCCCCTGAGCTCGGCAGCAGTGGCCACCTGTCTGTCCCTACAGCACAGCAAGCTCCCGCCTGTCGCTGGCCCTGGACTGGCTGTTCCTCCACACACTCTTCAGATGACCCGCTCTTCTCACTCCATAGGTCTCAGCTGAAAGGTCACCTCCCCCGGGGCCTCTCCCATCTCTCAAGTCAGCACCTGCTGTGCCAGAATAATCTTTGCCACCTGGAATTGTATTCCTGTGCCTGATTACCTCGTTACCGCCACCCTTCCATGGACGATAGCTCCCTGGGGAAGAACTGAGACCTGGTCTGTCTTGTATTTCATGGCATCCCAGGAGGTGCCTGGGAGAAAGGCTGGCATCTAGCAGACCACTCAGTGATTACTGGTGGGAGATGGGCAGAGGGGTGGGTGGGGGAGTTGATGGGTGAAGGTGGATGATGGGTGGATGGCGGATAGATGCATGGACAGGTGGATGGGTAGGTGAGTGGGGGTGGATGATATATAAACACATGGATGGGTGGATGGCTGTGGGTGGATGAATGAGAGATGAGTGGGTAGATAGCTGGATGGGTGCAGGGATGGGTGAGTGGAAGGATGGCTGGATGGGTAGACATGTGGATGGGTGGGTAAGCACAAGGAGAACCCCCCAAAACCAGAATTATCTTCTGGAGGGCAGGCCCCTTGCCCTATAGGCTTCCCCTGCTAGATGAGTGATCTAGGAACCCATCTGTATCAGTGCACCAGCTGGTGGTGTTGTGAGAGGTTGTGTTGTGCTTCAGTGAATTTTTTAAAAGATTCTTTCAACACATTTGCCCATTTCAGGATGGGTGACTCACGAGTGCACCTGCCCACACCACGCCAAATGTTCAAGAGCTTTTGACCAAAGACAGCATGAGCCCCCTGTCCCTCTCTCCCTATTCCCCTGATTTCGCCCCAAGAGACCTTTTTGTTTCTCTGGATGAAAAAAGTTCTCACAGGGAAACGTTTTGCTGATGGGGAAGAGGTGAAACAAAAAATGGCAGAAGCACTAAAAGGCATCAAAATCGACACCTTCGACAAACCAGCAACCTAAGTGGCCCCTCTCTGACCACGCCCCCACATACAGTGTCACAAACCAGCGAGCTGGGTGGCCCCACCCTGGTAAACAACTAAGGCTCCGCTCCTCATACCTAACGGGCACGAACAGATCAAAACATGGCTCAAGAACAACTCAGAGCCCCAGAGCCAATAAATCTAAGCGATGAAGAAATAGCCAAACTTTCAGATGCACAGTTCAAAACACTGGTGATCAGGATACTCACAGAACTGGTTGATTTTAGTCACAAATTAGAGGAACATATGAAGGCTAAACTAATTGAAATGAAGGTAAATACACAGGAAACCAATAGTAATGAAAGGAAACTGGGACTCAAATCAAAGGAGTGGACCAGAAGGAAGAAAAAAATGACCAAACAGAAAAGGATGAAGAAACAAGAATTCAAAAAAATGAGGAGAGGCTTAGGAACCTTCAGGACATCTTTAAATGCTCCAACATCCAAATTATAGGGGTACCAGAAGGGGAAGAGGAACAGTCACGAGTGGAAACCTTATTTGAACAAATAATAAAAGAGAACTTCCCCAATCTGGCAAAGGAAATAGACTTCCAGGAAATCCAGGAAGCTCAGAGAGTCCCAAAGAAGTTGGACTCAAGAAGGAATACACCAAGGCACATCATAATTATATTAGCCAAGATTAAAATGAAGGAGAGAATCCTAGAAGCAGCAAGAGATAAGGGGACAGTCACCTACAAAGGAGTTCCCATCAGACTGTCAGCTGATTTCTCAAGAGAGACCTTACAGGCAAGAAGGGGTTGGAAAGAAGTATTCCAAGTCATGAAATCCAAAGGCCTACAACCAAGATTGCTCTGTCCAGCAAAGCTTTCATTTAGAATGGAAGGGCAGTTAAAGTACTTCTCAGATAAGATCAAATTCAAGGAGTTCATCATCACCAAGCCCTATTATATGAAATGTTAAAGGGACTTACCTAAGAAAAAGAAGACAAAAAATATGAACAGTGAAAGGACAGCAAACTCACAGTTATTAAGAACCACACCTAAAACAAAAGCAAACTAAGAGGACAGCTAGATCAGGAGCAGAACCATAGAAATGGAGATCACATGGAGGGTTAGCAACAGGGGAGTGGGAGGAGGAGAAGGGGGGAGAAGGTACAGAAAATAAGTAGCATAGACGGTAGGTAGAAAATAGATAGGGGGAGGGCAAGAATAGTAGGGGAGATATAGAATCTAAAGAACTTGAGACACGTGGTCATAAACTAAGGAGGGGATGGTGGGGGAGGGGGTATGAAGGGTGGAGGGAAATGAAGGGAGGAATAGAACAAACGTAATGGCATCATTAATAAAATATGTTAAAAGAACAAACAAAAATTTACACATTCAAAAAACTGTTCTGAGCAGTGGGAAAAAGTCTCAATTGATGTACTGCATCAAATGGAGAGTATTTTGAAGGTGGCTGAAGTTGACACATGTAAGAATCCACAAGTTTTAATAAATAGGTTCCGGTTTTTCGGGGTCCACCCTCTCCTATCGCTGGAGAGCCACATAAGCACCCGCCCTGGTGCTCAGACAGGGAGGTGGGGAGGTGGTGCTGGTGCGAGAAATGATGGGGGAGGAGAGGAAAGTGGGGGGCCAGGCGGGCGAGCACGGCGGGTCGGCAGGCGGGTCAGCTAAGCTGTCACTACAGTCCAAGGCCCACTCGGGCACCCCCTCCGTGTCACAGGGCCCAGCCCAGAGATGCCATTCCCTCGGCTCACAAGCCCCCAGGCAACCGAGGCTGAGCTACAGAACAGGGGCCGGGGCTCAGGTCCACGTCCTCGAGGACTCTAGGCTGACGGTGGACCCCAGCCCATCACCGACTCGCCGTGGCCTCCAGCGAGTTCCTGGTCTCTCTAGCCCCAGTCTCCCTTTCGGGGGGCACAGCACCACAAAGGCCAACAGTCGAGCCAGACGCCACACTCAGCTCTGCCACTGACAGGCTGCGTCCCCACACACGCGTGTCTGTGGCTCCCCAGGCCTCAGGGGTCGGCCTCGTGGGGCTACAGAGAGGACCCAACCAGTGAGCTGCACTGCAGGACCCTCTTGCGCAGCCGGCGCAGCCAGGACGAGCTCCAGGCACCCTGACGGCGGACCGCTGCCTCACCGGGCTGCGTCTGACCACGGTGGGGGCTGGCAGGGCCGTGCCGACTGCCCAGGTCATGTGGTGCTCTGTCCTTACCTGAAGTCAGGGTACAAGGTGGCATACGTGGCCACCTCCATCTTGATGGCATTGGGGTCTTGCAGGCGAATGACTTCCGCAAGTGTGGGCAGGGCTTGGTGCAGCCAGGCTGCTGGGGAGCCCTGCAAACACAGGCCGAGTTGGAGGGAGGCTGCCTCTTCTGCAGGGGCCTGAGAGGCTCAGGCCAGACCTCACAGAGTTGGGAGAGGCCCCAAGGGGTAGGGAGATGCCCACCCTAGGCGGCTGGGGCTTACACTCTCAGTGCAGAAGCGCTGGATGAAGTTGGCATTGGCCAAGACCTGCCCTGCTAGTTGCCTCTGCTGCTCTGCAGTCTTGAGCACCAGGCGCCGTTTGCTGAGCTGCACGATGTATTCCTTCACCAGGTGCCGGTGGACGAGCTCCATGAGCTCCTGTGCAGGCCAACAGGCAGAGTCGTGTGAGCCAGGCCCTGACGGGAAGCTCACCACCTCCCTTGGAGCCTCGAAGCTGGGAGTCCAGGGAGGGGAGGATGGCAGAGCAAAGGAGTGCGCACAGGTGTGCACATGTGCGCGTGTCCGTGGGGGTGTGCATACACCTGTGTTAGCACGCGTGCTCAGGCTGCAGCCCCTGCCAGGCCCAGTCCCCGGCCCCTGGCCCCCGGCCCAGGGCCTCCTCACCTCCCGGAAACAGTCTCGCAGCCCCAGGAACTCAGGCAGGGCGTTCTCCACCCTGTGGACAATGTTCTCCATGGTCTGCTCCGCGGCTGCCCAGCGGCTATGTGAGAACCTCTTGAACAGGGGCTGGGACCGGAGAGAGGGCGGATGTCTGGCCCCGCCCTGCAGGGGAAGGGCTGTGGGGCAGACTCACACGCACGCACGCACGCAGACATGCACACTGCCTCTTGGGGCCAGCACAGGCTGGGGGCTCTGGGACTGCCGGGGAACCAGGGCAGAGCTTGGCTCACAGGCGGGGTCTGTGTAGCCTTCTCCAAGGTCAACCAGCTGTGGCTCCTTAGAAGCCAAAACCATCTGCTGTCCTGAGGTTTCTTCCACCACCCACGCCTTTAAATAAATAAATTCTTGCATAAACCAGGCCCCTGCTTTACTGATGCCAAGTCCTTGGGGTCATGGTCTAAACTTCACCACCACCAGGCCACCCATGGCCTCCGACTCTGGTCGCTGGGGACAGGGTGGGCCCCATGGAGGGCAGGCAGGGGACCCCTCCCGTTTTGTTCCAGGGACCCTGCCTCCCCCTCTGCTAAAGGAACCAGGGGCTTTCTGTGGGTTTTCCGGCTCCAGCAGGGGCCGCCGGTGGCTGCCAAGGCTCTGAGCATTACCGCTGGCAGTGAGGCTCAGGGAGGGGCTGGGGGTGAGGGAGGCAAACTGGGTGCAAACGTGGGGACTGGGCTGAGTCTAGTGTGGGGTCCCCTGAAACTCTTCTGTGCCCTCCCAGCCCTGGGCAGCCCCTTCTGAGGCCAAGCCCCAGGCCGACCCGGTGGGAGCAAGTTCAACGCCTCCATGGCCTCAACCCTGTGCACCACCAGCCTCCACAGGCCAGTCTTGGCCTCTGCCCTTCCTGCCACCACCGTCACATCCCCAGCCCTGGGCACAGCCGGGGTTACCTGCAGGCTGTCCACCAGGCTCTGGAGCAGCGTGTCGAAGCCGTGACCCTTGAGCTCATGCAGGTGGCCCAGGAGGTCTTGGGACGTCTGCCAGTTCTGCTCCACGAACGTCCTGGAAGGCCAGGGAGGCAGGGAGGTCACGCCGGCCCTGCCCAGCCTACAGCCCACACCCAGAGAGCCCAGGGCAAATCTTCCTCAACCACCTTGTCACTCTGGAACCCTCCTCAGGTCTCCATTCCCCGCAGGAGCAAGTCCAAGTCACCCAACCCATACTCCGTAAGTGGGGCCCAGCCTGCTCACGGCCCCCCAACACACACCCAGGCCACACCCTCTGCTAGCTGGGGGCCTGGCTCAGCCTCCGCACACCTCAGTACGCTTCCCAGCTGACGGGCACAGTCACTGCAGCCACCTCACGGGGCTGCTCGAAGGATAAAGCCGCTGGGGAGACCCTCGGCTGGCCTGCTTGGCTGGATCTGCCACGCCTCAGCGCTCCCTGCTGCTCAGGCCCCCCTGCTTTCTCTCCCCACAGGCCTCGCTCATTTCAGTTCCACGTCAGCGCTAAGCTGCTCCCCTCCGCTGCCCAGCCACCCCTTCTCTCCTCCTCGGGCCCCTCCACTCCCACACTCTGTCCCGGGCCCTCATCCCCCTCACCGCAAGGACCAGCAGCTGTTGATGTTGGCCATGACGTTGGCCCTGTAATGTGTCAGCTGTCTGCACCTCTCCAGAAACTCGTCAAAGGCTCGCTGGTAGCTGGTGAAATCAGAAGGGGGACTTGCGGGACCAGCACGGACACTGGGGTGACATCAGCCTCCCCGGGCTTACAGGGTGCTTTTCCCAAAGATGGACCCCAACAGCCCAGCGCGCTGGCCCCTAAGCATCATGGGACTGACTTTGCCTCCCGTGGGGCCAGGCCCTGCAGAGCTCCTGAACAGGGGGCTGGGCCAGCTCTGCTGGGCTCCCCCATCCACCCATGGCCCCCTCTACAGCTGGGAGACTGGAGGGGCCCTGGGCGGATGGGGGAGTCCTCAGAGGTCCACAGGAGGCAGACAAGAGAACTGTGGGATGGAGACTGGAAGTGCCCCCAGAAGGCAAGGCCGGGGTCTCAGGCCCGGTGAGGTACCCTCTTTGCAGCTGGAGGCCGATCTGCTGGGAGCCTTGCTGAGGAGAGTGGAGGCACCCGCGCTCAGCCGGCTGGTGCAGGGGGCCAGGACTCCTGGTCCTGGTGACAGGCACCGTAGGGGCTGGGAGCGGCCCGGATCCGGCCTGGATCCCCACACCGAGCTCAGGGACCCGTGTGCATTCCCGTGTGTGCACACACACACAAACACACACACTCACTCACCTCCTCAGAAAGGCAGCCAGCTCCACCCGCAGCAGGCGCTTTATCTGCGTGCCCAGGTCATCTGTGATGCTCTCGGCCTTGGCCTGGCTCTGAGAGATGATCTGCAGGGGTGGGTGTGAGCTGAGCAGGGACCCCCACTAGGGCTGGGGGAGGGGAGGGGACACTCGGGCACAAGGCGGTGGGCTCAGAGGCGGGCCCTGTGTGCAGCGGGCGGTGCTACCTGGATGATGTCGATGGCCAGTTCGCTGTGGCAGTGGCCATCCAGCTGCTGGGGGGCCACGTCCTGGGCCCAGTGCCGTGACTCCAGGTTCAGGGCCCGGGCCATCAGCTCCTTCGCACTGGTCTGTGGCGGGGAGGGTCAGGGTAGCAGGAAGCCCATCGCCCTGCCCACATGGAAGTCCCCGTCGAGCTCTCTGCCCATTCCTGTCCATCCCCAGACGCCCCTCTGTCCCCTTCCTGCCCCTCCCCGTCCCTGGTGCTGCTGCCAGACTTACCACCTCGTTGGATAGGAACGTGGCCTCCAGCAGCCGGATCTGCCGGGGCGGCAGCAGGCTCCCCAGCTCGACCCCCTGCAGCTGGCCGGCAAGCTTAGGGCTGTTGATGATGTCGCTGCGGGCAGTGGGGGCAGTGTGAGAAAAGTGGCCCCCCAGCCCCCCCGCTTAGGCCAGAGCTCTCCTCCTTGGCCTGTCTCAGTGGTCCCTTCAATGCATGGTCTGCCCCCCACTGTCTCCCCATCCCTGCTTCTCCAGCTCAGATGGTGCATCCTCCATCTGCTCGGTTGGGTCCAGGCGAAAACCTTGGAATCTTCGCGTCTCCTACTTTCTCACCCTCCATCCACTCAGGCTCCAAAACGTCTCCCCCGCCAATCGGCCCCTGGCTGAGTGCCCAGCCGCCTGCGCCTCCTACCCGCTCATTGCAGGGGTCCCGTCCCAGGCCCCCCTGCTTCCATCCTGGTCCCTGATGGCGGACAGCTGTCCACCGGGCAGGCAGGGCCTGTTCACTGCCGCTGCCTGAAAGTCTGATCTTCCCTCTCACACGTGAAACCCAACCCCCTGTGGCTGCAGCCACTGGTCTCCGCCTCTGTCCCACCCGTCCCCTCACCCCGCTTCCCTGCCAGGCCAGGCCTGCTCCACCAGAGGCTGGGCCAGTGCAAGCAGGAAGGACTCCGCGGAGGCGCAGGCGGCTCCACTCGCCCCTCTGGCTCCTCTGCAGGGTCCCGGCCCCCCAGGGACGGCCCAGCCCTGGCACTTCCTCGGGCCTTTGTGTGCCAGGAGGTTCAGGAGTGGCTCTCTCTCTGCCCCTTTCGAAGCCTGGACACCATGTCCCTTCGCTCCCTGCACTTCCGGCCACACAGGCCTCCACGAGGCCTCCCTGACCTCCCCTCCTCAGGGCTCCGTGCCCAGCTGCCCTGTTTGCTGCTGGGCTGACCCCCGTGGGCCCCAGGCTCAAAGCCTCCCTGGCCCTGGGACCGGGTGGCTTACTGGCAGTGGTTTGCGTGCCCAGCATTTCCTGGTGAGTCAGGCAGGACAAGCAAGGAGGAACCGGCTCCCGGCTGGCCCGCCTCCCCCCCTTCCCCCGCAGCCCCTGCTCTAGGCCGCTCCCCTGTGCCCTGCTGACCCCTCGCCCACCACGCCCCTGGGCCCTTCCTCTGGGCCTTGCTGCAGGCTGAGCACAACCTGAGCCCCTCAGACACGGCTCACACTGTCTACGCCACCAGGCTTCCTTTCCACTCGGGGCTGGGCCAGCCCTTAAGGATCCCCCGGCTTCTCGAGCTGGGCACGTCCACGCTCAGGCCCTCTCCACCCAGCCGGCGCTCAGAGATCCATGGAGTCTGGGTAAATCGGGGAGCACCTGAGGCTGTGCCCACCGCTACCAGGTCCCACCCGAGGAGATGCGGGCCTGTGCACCAGTGTCCAGCTTGCTGTGGGCAACCCTGCCCAACAAGGATCTTTCCAAGGGGCCCCGCGGCCCGCCCAGCCCTGGTCTGGGAGCTGCCTGGGAGGGCCCCACAGCCTGCGGATGAACCCAAACACTGACGAGCTCCCCACAGCTCCCAGAGTGCCTCCCAGCTCCACTTCAGGCCCTGGAAGGGACTCCCTCTGCCCAAAGCACCACCCTCCTCCCCTGCTGACTCCCTTCCTTCCGTTCGCCCGGGAATGGCCCTGGGCAGGGACACCCCTGGCTCCAGGCAGAATCCTCCTTGGAGATCCTTGAGGCCGGCTCACTGGCCTGACCCCGCACAAAGTCCCTGCCCTGGGCTCCCCTGTCCTGGCCTCCTCTGCCACGGCCTTCCTGCTCTGGATTGTCCTTGTCTTTCCCACCCCCCTGCCAGTTCATGAATGAGTGAAGTCCCTGCACCTCTGTGTCCCCAAATGCAGAATGTGGTTGAGGCCCTGGAAATTAGGGAGCCCAAGCGCCAAGCGGACCCAGCGAAGGACTCTGCCTGCACTGACCTGACTGAACCCGCTCCCTGCCCAGGGTGACAGCGCCTCCTGCCGCAAGGCCCCTCCCTGCCACTCACTTGGGGTAGAGGTTCTGCACCCAGACCAGCAGCAAGTAGGTGTCACGCTCCAACAGCTCAAACTGCGCCATGGCCGTCAGCTGGGCGGCGAAGTGCTGGTGGTAGCTCTCGGCGTAGGCCGCCACGACGCCGAACTCCGCGGGGAACAGTGGCTTCAGCCGCTCCACCACGGCCTCCAGGTCCTCCTTCAACGTGCGGCCCATATGCAGGAAGGCGCGCTCGGCCTCCGAGCGGCCCTCGGCGTCCGCGGCCGGCGGCCGTTCCAGGCGCTCCTGGGCTTCCTGCGCCACGCCGCGCCGCCACAGCTGCAGCCAGCGCCGGGGTCGCGTGGGCGCCAGCGCCGAGGGCCCGGGCCCCGCGGCCTCCACGCGCCGGTCCTCGCGCTCCTGCTCCGCCAACACGGCCAGCGCCTGGCGCAGCCGCTCGGGCGCCGCCTCCAGCGGCCGGCGCAGCAGGCCGAGCACCTGGTCGCGCAGCAGCACGTACAGCGCCTCCACTTTGCTCTGGCGGCGCACCAAGTCCTCCTCGCTCACGCCGCCCGTCGCCGCCAACGCCGCCAGCTCGCGCTCCAGCAGCAGCAGCGGCGCCGCCGCCTCCAGCCGCCCGAGCTCCAGGTCCACCTTGAGTTCCTCCACTGCGAGGACCGGACAGCGCGTTAGCGTGGCCAGGCACAGGTAGGGTGCCGGCGGGGACACCTCCACTCCCATGAGAGCCCGAAGGGCGAAGCCATGCGCCCAGAGAGGCCCTTCGGTGTCCCAGACGGGACGGAAGCCCCCATATGCCTTCCACCCAACCACCAAGACTAGGCAGGAGGTGCAGGTAGAAGCCAGGAGGGGCGACACCTCCAAGCCCAGGGCGCCTGCCCTCTCTGGGTCCTGGGTCAGTGGGCCAGCCGCTCAGGGAGCCCCAGCAGTGTCAGGTCCTGGCCAGCTCTGACATGGAACCCCAGCCCCAGGAGGAACCCCAGCCTACCTACCCGTGGGCAGTAGGTCCCTGCTCCTGGGCCTGGACTCAGGCTTGCCCTCTGCCTTGGCAGCGCTGGGCTGGCCCTTCTTCTTCCTCCCTTTGGTGAAGATGCTGAACATGTTGGCCAGGCCTTTTGGCTTCTTCTTCAGAGCCTCTTGCTCGCCCCTCTCTGGGGCTCCCTTGGATTCCTGGGGTGGCACCAGGTACTCAGAAGAGGCCTCTGACATGGAAGAAGGTCATCATCTTCAGCGTCACGCTTGCTCGGGCCTGCAGGTGGGCTAGGGAGGGGGGATGAAAGCGTGAGCAGTTGCAGTGCACAGGCCTGGTGGCAGCCCTGTGCGCTTGACCAGTTGCCACCGGCAGGCCCCCCAAGGCTCTGGCCTCCAGGCCCCCCGTGGGCGCCAACGGCTCGCTCGCTCCCTGGACCCTGGCTTCTCTGTGCCCACAGCTCCTCTCCCCTTCCGGGCCCTCCCAGAATTACCGGAGCAGGGAGGAAGCTGGGGTGCCAAGCCTGCCAGACAGACAGGCTTTCGCTTCGTTGGGAAGATGATCCTTTGACAGCCCACCCTCTGGGCAGGGGCTGCAGGGCACGAGGACACCCCCGACCCCCAGAGCAAGGGCTGCAGTCCCACTGTGCAGAGTCAGAACAGAGGTCGGGGGAGTTCCACGGCAGAGACCGGCCCAGGCACACCCCCTACCTCGGCCGCTCTCCTCTGCTCATGTCTGGCTGTGGGGCCCCAAAGGGACGCTGCGAGCAGAAACAGGTCTGGTCCTGCTGGGACCGTGAGGCAAGCAGATCCTGACCCCCAGCACGGCCTTGGGGTTCGGTCTACAGAAAGCATGGCACCCCTTAAACTCCAGTGGGTGGGAAAGGACTTCAGAGAGCCTTTCGCACGCTGAGTGGGGACAAGGGCTGCCTGAAGTCACAGAGTGACCTGGACAGGAGCACAGGCTTCCTGGCTCCTGCTTCTCCCTGGCAGCTCCGGAAAGGGGAGTCTCCAGCATCACCACAGGCTCCCACTCTCTCTGCCCCTCCTGGGTGCCCACCCCGGCTCTTCCTCACTCCCAGCGGGGAGGGGTGTGATTTTCCTCATCTCACGAAACCAACTCAGGGAGGCTTCACAGGCCCTGTGGTCGACCCCTTGGGCTTGAGACTCATCCCTCTACCTCTGCGTCCCCCACCGCCCAGCCAGCTGCATTCAGACAGGCAGGACCATCTCGTGCCCAGCATCACCCTCCAAACACCTTGACCATTATCGGAGCAAGGCCAGGTCTGGGGGAGGGGAACAGGGCTGACCCCAAGGGAGCAGGCGGGGCCAGGCCTGCCTGGCGACTGGGGGGGGACACATAATCACAGTGCCTGCTCTGCCACCCAACAGCAAACACGCCAGGCCATCACGCCTGCAACACGGCGACTTTGATCCACCCCTGCAACGGACCTGCTGATGGATAAGCCGCCGTCGGGAAGGAGAACCTGAAGTGTGTGGGGGGAGGTGCCCTTGTCCCAGTCGCAGAGCAGGTGGCGGTGAGCGGGGCTCAGCTCAGGCAGGCAGACTCCGCGGAGCCCCTGCTGACTCCCCCCCCCCGCCCACCCCCTCTCAGGGGCTGGGGAAGCCTGAGTTGTTCCTGCTCCCATGGGCTTTACGGGACACCTGGGCAGGGTCCTAGCGTTGCTGCCCCTGCCACTTGGTCTGGCAGTTCCTCTCCAGAACCAAGCGGGTGTGCTCTAGGAAGCCCCCAAACCAAGGTCCCTTGGCAAGAGGCCAATGGGTGCTTCTGCCTGCCACCCACCGCCCCCGGGTCCTCTCCCATTCCACCCCGTTTTTATGCTGTGCACCTATAGGAGCTGGTCAGGTCAGCTGCCTGGGCTGCTCAGTGCCACCCTGGGGGCCTGGTCCCCCTGCTGCAGTAAAGGAGAGGGCCATCCTGACCAGCAGGGCGGAGACCAGCCTCACCTCTGCTCCCACCAACACCCACTCCTTGGTCCCCACGCACACTAGGCTCCGTCTGACCTCCAGACCTTGCTCTGGCAGGTCCCTGCACAGCATCAGTGCCGCCCCGCCTCACAGACTCCTACTCAAGGCCCAGAAGCCCCCAAGGCTGGTCCCCAAGGGCTCCCCCCCCCCAGGCTGGCCCCTGCTGGGAGCCAAGTGCAGGCCTCTGCCCGGCCAGGGCGGTTGGCTGGACACACTCAGATAAGAGACCTGCTCAGAGTTATACAGTGTGGCCCAGCCTGCAGCCGGACAGTCCTCCCAGTGCTGCCCGCTTCTCGGGGGCACCCGCCTCGCCCCCTCCTCCGGGGCAGGGCTAAGACTCACCCAGCCTCACACGGCCTCTGCGCTGGGGAGCGACGGAGGGAGTACGGGTCCCCCAGATAACGCCCAGGCACAGGGAGTGAAGTGACTCGGCCTAGGTCATCAGCCAGCTTCCCTCTCCGGCCCTGGGCCCCCTTCCTACCGCGAAAAGCAGCGAGACCCTCCCTGCCTTCCCCCGGACAGAGCCCGCGCCTAGGGCGCCATCCGGGCCCTGTGCGTCCCAACGCGAAGGCGCTCCGTGCAGGGGCCTCAGTTTCCCTAGAAGTGGGGCTGCGGGAGGCCTCGGGCTCTTTGATCGCCCGCCCCCTTGGTCCCCTCTGCCTCCCCTGCCGCTCCCTCGGGGGATGGGCCGAGGGCCGGGATGACCCGCAGCCGCGTGGGACGACGGACGCCGGACTCCAGGAGAGTGAAGGTCACTTACATGTTGGCCGGACAGCCGCTCTGCCGCCGGCGCCTGGCGCGGCCAGAAAAAGACTCAGACTCCGCTCCGCCCCTTCGGCCTCCCCGCTCCTCCCCGCCCCCCCCCCCCCCCCCCGGCCCCGGGCAACTCCGACAACTCCGCAACCGCGGAAAATCCGCGGGGGAGAGGCCAAGGCGGGTGCTGCCCCCGTCCCCGCGTTCGGGTCGTGCGCGCGCCCCGGAGGTGGTGCGGGGCCCGTCCCGCTGGGGAATGTGAGTGCGTGTTTGTTGGGGAGGGGGTCGCCACCTCCCACCAGCCGGGGCGGGGTGGCGGGTGCAGGGGGCGCGACTGGCCGAGTATTTGGGGCGCGGGGATCCTCACCCGGCGGAGGGAACCCGTCTGCTATTGCCGATTGTGCAACGACGGCTTCTGATTGGCTAAGAGGAAGACCCCCCCCCCCCCCCCCACAGCTCAGGACGACGCTTCCTCGTCACAGAGCTGGCACCTACTCCGACTCCCTCGGCCCAACTACCTCCGCCCCGTCTGGGGGGACCGGTCCCACTCTGGACAGCACTGGTTGCATAGAGACACGGGAGGGGGCCTTCCTGGAGGAGGCGCCTCAAGGGAAAGGGGCTGCAGGGGTGCTCAGCTCTTGACAATACGCTGTGCTGGGTGCCTTTCCACAGCGTCACCGTCGGAATTCACACCCAGGCCTGGGGAACCCCTACCCAAGGCTTTCCCTTCTGAGGCTGGGGCTGAGCCAGGACAGGCTGCTGGGGGCAAAGTCCCGACCCAGCGGTTTGGGTCGTCATTCAGCCCAGCTTTGTCCTCACTTGGGGTAGGTTTGAACAGGTCACTCCCCTCTGCGGGCCTCTGGTCCCCCTCTAAGGCCTGTTTTCTGGGCTCTGCTACAGGGTGGGCAGAGGGTCCCGGTGAGAGTGCCCACCCACAGCCACCCCCGTGCTCTTTCACAGCCCAGGACTCTTGCCCCCTGGAAAGGACCCAGTCACTCAGGAATTTCCCGGCTGAGCACCAGCTTCCCTTTTCCCTCTTGCTGGAGCCTCTGCTCCTCCCTCCCTTTTGTTTACTCCCCCCCCCCCCATTGCCCACTCCCGTGGTTGGTCTGGGAGCAGTTGCAGAGTGGCTGGGTAGCAGAGCTGGGGTTGCCCCTCGGGACAGAACTCCCTCTTCCTCCTTGGGACTCGTGGTCCGGGGCCAGCTTGGGTTTGGACATGGACCCCTGTCCCTGAGGGGCTTGTGGGAGGTGAGGGGCCTCAAGAGGGGACAGTGAGAGAGACTCCACCCCTTCTCTGCCTGAGGCCTGGGGCCTGACGTTTTTCCCATGGGCCAGCGGAGCCACAGTGCCGGGCTGGGAGGGTCGTTCCATCTGCTCCGCAGATGAGTGGGAGGCACCCCCCCATCATGTCCATCCAGTCAGACAGAGGCCAAGGGAATGAGCCGAAGGGGCCCTGGCCCGCTGCCTCACTCTGCAAGTGGTGCTTTCCTGCCGGGCCTCCATTCCTAACTCCAGACGGGTCAGGACGCTCGCTGAAGCTTTCTGAGTGGGGGGGGGGTGGGGGACGGGGAGGCTTCCAGGCAGCAGAGGCAGGAACGACACTTCCGGGGCAAGTTTTGAGCCTGGTCCCCAGTGCCCTGGGGCCACCTGCACCTGCCTCCATGGCTCCCCCTGAGCAGCAGCCAGGGCCAGGGCGTGGGGGAAGCTGCCCTGTCCTCATGTGCTGCACCGGTCACTTCCCGGGGGGTGCGGGCATGTCTGTGAAGCCCCCGACACAAGGGAAAGCCTCTGACAGTGGGGCTACACAGAGGGCCACGGGTGACAGCCGGGGGCGGGGGACTGGGACTGATGGGGCAGGAGTCTTCTTACCCCTCTGATGTGAGGCAACTGTCCCATGGACACTCACAGGGAGGGTCAGCCAGGAATTCTGCCCTTAGCCGGAAAGGAACAGCAGATGCTCAGTGGGAGTGTCCCTGGCCATCTGCAGTCCCACGCCCCACAGGGCGGCGGGCTGGCTCCACGTGGCAGGGAGGGCTGCAGGCAGGGGCCGGGAGACCACAGACTAGCCCGGCCCCTGGTCGGGAGCGAGGTCAGCCTCTGCCAGGGGGCACAGGGCCCTGCCCCTGCCCCCCACCGCAGGGCTCTGCCTGCTTCGCTCTGCCCAGAAGTGATGGCTGACTTAAAAAAAAACCCAAAACTTTGGTAAAATACGCATAACAAGCCCTGGCTGGTGTGGCTCAGCGGGCTGGGCGTCATCCTGTGAACCAAAAGGTCGCCAGTTTGACTCCCTCCCGGTCGGGATACATGCTCGGGTTTCCAGCCAGGTCCTTGGGTTGGGAGTTCTCGAGAGGCAACCGATTGTTTCTCTCCCTCTCTTCCTCCCTTCTGTCCCCTCTCTCTAAAAAATAAATAAATACAATCCTTTAAAACTCTGCATAGCAAAACAGACCATTTTGGCCCTTTTAAGCATCTACCACCTCAGGGGCATGAGCACTTCCACACCGAGGGGCTGCCGGCACCAGGGCCGTCTGCAGAACCTCTGTCACTCGCGAAACTGGAGCTCCTTAACCATGAACTCCCCGGGCCACCCCGACCCAGCCCCTGGCGGCTGCCATCCTGCTTTCCGTCTCTGTGCTTCAGGTTCATCTAGGTACCTCATGGAAGTGGAATCGGGCAGGGGTTGTCCTTTTGTGAGTGGCTTCCTCCTCTTAGCATGACGTCCCCAAGGCTCGCCCGTGTGGTGGTGTGTGTCAGACTTCCCTTCCTTTGTAAGGTTGAGTAACGTTCTGTTGTTCAGCCATGGACTTGCCCGTGGACCCCGGGAGGGCCGCCACCCCCTGGCCGCTGTGACCCACGCTGCTGTGAGTGTGGGCGCGATCGGGCCTCTCCCTTTTGTTGGCCTTCACAGCTGCCAGGCCCTGTTCTGAGGGCTTTGCATGTATTAACTGTTTCCATCAGAAAATCTCATGACATGGGTATTCCCTAACCACCCCCTTTTCACAGAGGGGGAAAGCGAGGTACAGGCAGGCCCAGCCCTGCACCAGCCAGGGGTGGAGCCGGGAGCCCCACTCCGACATTGCTTTGCCCCAGTATCCATCTGTGTGGAAGTGTAGCTTCATGTATTTAAGTCAGACACAAGGAAGGACTGCCAGGCCAGACCACTTAGATGCAGAAATGGAAGGTTTGACTGCCCTCCATTTTATTATCATGTTTGGAAAAACAAAAGGATTTCCCAATATTTTATAACCTTGTTTATTCACTGGGTCTTCCCCCTCCCCCTCGGGGGCAGCCCAGCCACATGGGGTGGTGTCATCCGCCCTTGCTGGGGGGAGCTCCCCCGAACAGGGGGAGTGGAAGGCAGAGGGGGCACGTTGGGGGGGGCGGCAGGTGCACAGGCTGACAAGCGTCTCACAGGAATGAAGGGGCTGAGGGTCGCTGGGCCTGGTTCCACCAGCAGGACCTGCCCAGTGGCCCTGGTCACAGGCCGGCGCTGCCCGTGGGGTGGGCTCCCAACGACCAGCAGCCCAGGGCACTCGGGGACATCCCCAGCCCCGCCCCCGGGCCTGGGCCCACTTCCCTCCAGGAGATGACTTGCACTCCCCAGTCCTGCTTCTCCCCCGACCTGGGGGAGGCCGTCCTGGTGCCCCCTGTCCCCAAGGGTTGCCCCACTCACTAACTGTGTTGGGCACAGCCATTGTGTCCCTGTAGACAGATGAGGAGACTGATTCTGAGAAGGGCAAGCCAGCTCACAGGTTGAGGCCCTGAGGAGAGGGTCCCCGCTGCCTCTGGACCTGGCCTGGGAGAACTCACTTGCATAGACAGGACCATTGCGGCTGCACCAGCCCCGGGCCAAAGTCAGCTGATCTGCCCGGGGGCCACGGGATGGCCAGGGCAGCTGACCAGGAACCAGCCGCCCGGGCGCCCTTGCCCACGAGGGCACCGTCCCCACAAGAAGGTGTTTACTTGTCAACAGCCCCTGCCCTTCTCCAGGGAGGGGGCTGCACACTTCCTTCTGTGTCTGGCAGATGGGGAAGTTGGGCGCTAAGGGGAAATGGCTTCTCCGGAGTCCATGGGGCAATAGGACTCCGATACAGGAGCCTGCTAAGGCGCGCAGTGCAGGAGGGCTTCCTGGAGGAGCTGCCCTTCCAGGTCATCAGGGACTCTCCCCTAAAAGGGCCCAGCCTTTCACAATGGCTTTTGGTGGTAATGCAAAATGGCCAGTTCAGTTCCTGCCCCTCAGGCCTGGGGCTGCCTTTAGACCCTTCTTGTAGCCTGCATGGTTTCCAGGAAAAGAGCTGTGGAGACTCGCTCTGCACTGGGTTCCACCCTATGACGGACGGAGGGGGAATTCTCCAGGGAATTGTGGTGCCGAGTGGGCCAGGGCCGGGAGGCAGGGAGGCTGCCAAACCCCCGGAGGCCTGCCCCTTCCTGGGGCCTGGGTGTGCACGCTCCTCCCCCGACAGGCACACGCGTGTGTGCTGGGCGTCTGGACTTTGGAGAAGGCATAACGGTGGGGCCTTGGTCCCCGGGAGCTGCATCACCAATGTGTTTTTAGACATTTGGCTCCACCCCCAGGGCCTCGGCCTGCCTCCTGGAAATGGGGGTTTTACGGCGGGCGACAGAGCCCAGAGAGGTGGAGTGACTTGCCCAAAGTCACGCAGCTAGGAAGGCGCAGAGCTGGCGTCCCAGCCTGGAGGTGCCTGGACCCAGAGGATCCAGAAGCTCATGCTGGACCCTGCACGGGAAGGAAGCGGAAACACCCAGCAGAATCTAGGGGCGGGGGCACCCGAGGTGGCGGGACTGTTCACGACACCCCTCTTTCTTCAGATCCTAAGGTCCCGTCTGGGGAGCTCAGTTCTGACAGGGTTCAAGAAGGGCTGCCCCCCAACCCGGCCGCCACAGCAGACGCGGGCTCTTCGCCCACACCTGAGCTCTACCACCCCAGTTTTCCTCGGTTTTCCTTGGGGAAGCTCTGCTTTTAACAGGCTCAGCTGGCCTGGGAGGAAGGAACCCTGTGGCAAGGGGAACTAGGAGACTTTTCACCTTACACCCTTTTTGTACCTTTGTAATGTTGAACTAAGTTAATGAATCACTATCCACAGCATTGTTGAAGTTACAAAAGAGAACATTTAACCCTTCACAAGCTGCTAACAGGTGTGTGAGCAGGTGGGCAGCCGCCCGGGAAAGAGGTGGGGGGGCCTTCGTGATGGTGAGTCCAGACCCTGAGCCAGGCTGTGGCCCTGGTGGCATTCACCTCTGGGGCTCCTGACTCCCGGCACTCCACCCCCCCATTAGTCCGGGAAGGGGCCTGTGATGCCATCTTGTGGGACTCGATACCCCAGACCCGGAGCCTGGTCCCCATCCCTCCGCCCAGGCCTCTGCACGGATGATGGACGGATGCTGACTCTGGCGGGGCCCCCTGGTCTGCTGTGGTGGCAAAGGAAGGAAGTGAGATTGGGGGCGGCAAACAGCCCTGGGAACCAGGCAGCCCCCTCTCCCCTCCTGGTCAGTGGTGAGGGGCCCTTCGAGGACCGAATCCTACTGAGAGGGCTGTTCCCAAGTCCAGGGGCCCCATGAGGGCCAGGGCCCGGAAGGGAGGAGCCTGGGTCACAGGCCAGGAAGGAAGAGGGAGAGGCTGCACAGGCACGGAGGTGGCGCTGACTGCCACCCGCAGCACCGGACTGGGACCGGGAGACAGGACAGTCCCCTGCCTTCTCTAGTGAAAGAGGGACCCCGCTGGTACCTCCCCTCCGTGGCTGAAGATCCCGGGCCACCTGCGTGTGCCCATGGGGGCCCTGATGTAAGGCAGGGCCAACCTCCCCGCCCTGCCAGCCCCGGTGTCCCCATTGACGCAGGACTGCTTGTCAGCGGCGGCTCCCACACGCACCCTGCCCCCACTGCAACGCTAGAGCCTGGGAACCCCAACCTCTCCTCTTCCTCATTCCTGCCCCACCCACCCTGCCAGGTCCCCCACTGAGGGCGGTCTGGACCCCCCTCTCTTTCTCCGCCACCAGCCCCTGTGCACCGGTGGAGGGAGCAGTCCCAGAACACTGCAGGGGCCCCAACAGGACTGACTCAGTCCTGGCTCTGCATCCCAGCCCTGGAGGAGGGAATCGGACAGAGGCCTCCTGACAGCGCAGGGAGGTGGCCTGGGGGAGCTGGGAGACACATGTCCCCCACCCGGCCCGCCCAGCAGCCCTTCAGGACACTTGCCCTGTGCATAGGAGACTCTGCCTCACTGGGCTCTTCGAACCCTGGCCCCCTGCAGTTGCCTGCTCCTCATGGTCAGGAACAGGCCCAGCAAGAAAGAGGGGGCCTCTGCAAAGGGGTGTCAGGGAGGCACCCAGGGCTGCCTCAGTGCCTCCTTGTAACCTCTCTCCTCAGCACCCAGTTCCCTGCTGAGCCCCCGATTCCCAAAGCAAAAGCGTTTCCCAGCCCGCCTCACCTGAAGGCTGAGTCAAATTTCAATGCCAGGTCTTTGTGAGAGAAGGATGGGGGGGGGGGGAGGTTGCAGGTGCTGGAGCGAGCTCCTTGCAGCCCCACCTCCAGAGCTGAGACCTGTAGGGCCAGCCTCCCGCCCTACCATGGGTTTCACACGCACAGCAGCATCCTTACAACTGGGAAGTCCCTCTCACACCTCACCCAAATACCTGACGCTGCAGAGCAAGGACAGGACAGAGCAGTGCCCATCCCTGCCAGGCGAGGCTCGCTTAGCACAAGAGGCCAGTGGACTCGCAACTGCAGGGTCCAAGCCTGCTTTGCTCTGTGGCCGCAGGTATGGGCCTTCTCAGCTATGGGCCTGCCTCAACCTGCCCACTGGCACCGCGGGCAGGAAAGGGCCACCACTGAGCTGGGTCACCGCAGAACCTTCCAGCCCAGCCTCCTGCTCCCAGCCAGCTTGGCCCTGCCCCTCCTGAGGGGGACACCATTTACATTCCTGCTTATTTTTAAATACTCTGCTCTTCACTTTCCGACTGGGGGTAGTGCTGGGCAGGAGGGTGGAGGCCTTCTTGGGTGGGCAGTGCCAGGGGAGCCTCTGCGCAGCCCCCAGTGCCCCCCCCCCCGCAGATGCCTGAAATGCCTCTGTCACTGCTCTTCCTTCTGGCCCCAAACCACGCTCAGCCGAGGAGGAGAATTCCACGACTCCGAAGCGTCAGGTTGGGGGCAGGGCGATGGAGGGCACCTCCCGGACTCCTGGCTTGGGGCTCAGTGCCTGGCAGACGGTCCTGCGCCCGCCGCAGCCCCCACCCGAGGCCAGCCCCACAGGTGCAGGAGCCCTAGATGCAGGTGAGGAGCACATCCACAGAGGCGGGCACCTCGATCTCCTCGAAGAGCACTCGGCCCCCAGAGGCCTCCGAGGCCCTGGCTTTCGCTGCGGCCTTCAGCAGGTCCTGGGTGTGCTGCAAGAGGCGCTGGTTCCGGTGACGGCCCAGGCGGCGCATAGCCAGAATGGCCAGCACGTGGTCACGCCTGCAGAGACACAGGGCCCTGAGTGCAGACCCAGCGCCTCCAGGGATACCCCGCCGGGAGGAGCCCTGCTCTCCTAGGGGCTGGCTGGGTCGGGAAGGGTCCCAGCGGGTGGAGAGAAGGGGCTGCCCAACTGGGAAAGCAGCCCCTGCGGAGGTCCAGGAAATGGACCTGTGGAGGGAGGGAGGAGGAGCGGCTGGGCAGAGGGTGGTCCCGCCAGGGGGCGTCTGGGGCTGAGAGCACCGGGCTGGGAGCCCCAGCCAGGCGACAGGGAGAAAGGCAGCGTGGAGGCGGGAGGTCGGAGCCCAGAGGCATCGCTAGTCACCCCTTCACAGCAAGAGCACCCACTGGGCTTGAAGCACCACCCCTAGGAGCCTGGGGGGCAGGCGCTGAGGGCAGGAGAGCCCGGAGGGGCCTGGAGGGGAGCCCCGGAGCGCTGCAAGGGTGTAGTCACTCAGAGTCGGAGAGGCAGCATCAGCTCGGGCAAGGAACCCTCTCCCAGTGCCCAGGGCTGGGAAGGGGCTTTCTGCTCCCTCCCCCATCCTGGAATCTCCAGGGTCATGGAGAGTTTCTGGCTGGGATTTCCACAAGCTCGATGACTCAGCCTCTCCCGCAACCAGCACACACCCTGGGAACAAAGTCTCTTTCCTCCTGGCTGGAGCTTCCAGGGAGGGTTTTGTCCGGGAGATGGGGGTTGTACCTCCGCCCAAATTCCCTGGCGGGACGTGTTTCCACCATCAGACACCCGTGGAGGGGCAGGCCCTGCGGAGACTAGCTTACGAGGGAAGAGAACTCCCTCTCCCAGGGCCTCCCTGCCCTACAAGCGCACATCTCTGCCGACTGTTCACCTGAGACCCCTAGGACCCTTGCAAAGGCACGAAGCCCCGACCCGGGGGCTCCGTCCGCAGTGCTCCCCTTGAATGCCAGGATAGCAGGTGGGGGTGCAGACCTGATGTCGGGGTAGTTCCGCACAAGCGCCTCCAGGTGCCGCTGGATGTAGTCTTTCCGAGTCTCGCCCAGTATGTCGGCCACACAGAGGATCGCTTGGTCCAGCCACGCGGCCTCTGAGCCCTGCGGAGACAGGGAGACACCAAAGCCTGCGGGGCTGGCCACCCCCTCCCCGAGGGGGAGCCCCTCGCTGCCCTGCCTGCAGCCCCCGCCTCGGCCCCACGGAAGGACACGGGGCTCCACACAGCACACTGGCCACAGCACCCCTCCCCACGGCACAGCTCAGTGTCTTCCTGCCTCTGCTCCGTTGGGTAAACTGAGGTCTGGACCAGGAAGTCCTGCCTGGAGGGAGCAGTGAGTGGGGGACCAGAGCCAGAGTTGGGGTGTTTGTGTAGGGAGGAGGTGCCTCGGCTGCAAAGGCTGGAGGTCAGGGTGGAGGAAAGGCTGCCACAGCCTCACCCATCAGATGCTGCAGACCCTCCTTCTATCCCCGCTAACCCCACAAAATGTATGCAAAGGTATGCAAAGTGCCTCCCAGGCCCCGCCCCCCGGGCTGCAGGATTGCGGGAAGGACGCTTCTGCTTCAGCCAAAGCCCTGGGCTCCTGGCAGCTGAGAAAGCACTCAAACGCAGTCGGAAGGCGCTCCTACCAAGCCCTGGAAGGTGTTGCCAATGGCCTGGGCTTCCAGGCTCATCTTCTGGGAGCCAGTCTTGCGCTCGACGCCCCGGAACCTCTCACGTGGCCTCAGCGCCTGCGCAATGTACTCTCGGACCACATAACGGTGCGCTTCCTGCAGAGTCTCCTGGGCAGTTGGGAGCTCGGGGTCAGGGTCAGGGCCAAGGGTGTGGTTTTGGGCATGAACCCACTAGCACCCCTTCCCTTCTAGATACCTGTGCACGAAGTGGGGTCACATGTTCTAAGTGGTGGGCGAAGGCCACTACCTTGTCCATGAGGGGCTGCAGCGAGTCCTGTGTCAGCCAGGCCTTGGTGCACAGGACCCTGAAGAGTGGCTGGGGACGAGGATGAGGGGCTGGAATCTCCCAACCGTGCCCCACCTGATCGCCCAGTGCAGGGCTCCTGACAGGGGCGTTTTGGGCCTAGGGACAATTTTTCAACAGGAAGGAACTCTGGGGGGCTATCTAACCCCCTCTCTATGCAGTAGCTCGGTGACATGTCTCCTACCACAAATTATGTCACTAGGCCCTTCCTGGAGCCCTGAGCTCCAGGGCTGGGTTTTAGTTTGAGCCTCTAGCTGGGCCTTGCTGGGCCAGTGCGGTGCCTGGTTCCTTGGACCTACTGTGTCCAAGAAGTGGAAACTCACCATCCCTGCCCAGCTGGGAGCTTGCCCGGGCTCCCTGCCCACCACGCAACCCCCGAAACTGTCCCTGGTGTAAATGAATGCAGTGAATTGGGCCCCCAGACTCCAGGGCACAGGGGGTACCTCCTGGGCATGGGAAGTAGGAAGAGAGGGGTCTGTGTCTGCTCACCTACCTGCACGTCACGCTGCAGACCCTGGAGCAGCCGCTTCTGGAAGACACGGGTGGCAGCTGCCAGGGGCTTCTCCAGCTCCGAAAAGGTTCCTGGGTACCTGGCCAGCAGACTGGTCCTGGGAAGGGCCCAGGACAGGAGACAAAGTGGGCAAGGGGGAGCAGGCTGGGGACAAGGCATGTAGTCATGCAGGCTAGAGGCCATATCGACCCCACTCACTTAGACTTGAATGTGAAGGTCCCAGGGCCACACAATGTGTATAGCAGCCCAGGGAGCAGAGTCAAGTGAGGGGACAGCACTGAAGCCCCAGGAGCTGATCAAGGAGGGGCAGGTCAGCAGGATGAGGCTGGTGCCCCACTGCACTGCAGCTTGCCCCCGCAGCAGCCCAGGCCACACCTCCATCCCTCCTGGACATGGCAGCACAACTAAGCCTTGCCCAGGGGGCCCTTCTCTGAGCCTCATGACTGCTCCCCTGAAGGGACATGTCCTCATTTCACTGTTGAGGAAATAGGGGCCTAGGCTATGCCCAGTCCCCAGTACAGGGACACCGAGGGGGAGGCTAACATTCCATCAGGGGCTGGGTCAGAGGCTGCCTGCCCACCAAGGGGTGGAGAACGTTCCCTGGGGCTGATCAGACAGGCCTGGTTCAGGTTTCTGGCCCAGCACGAACTGGCGGTGTGACTGTGGACAAGTGGCATTCCTTTCCTGAGCCCCTGCTTTCCCATCTGTACATGGGGACACTGCACGTGGGGCGAAGTGCATCAGATGGACAGAGCACCAGCACGGTGCTGGGCACACCGCAGAGGCTCAGGAGGTGCCAGCACGAACCGGGCGCTCTGCGTCCCAGCGAGCAGGTGCTCTGATCGCCATCTGGCAGAAGGGGAAGCGAGGCGCCCACAGGGGAACGGACTCATCCCTAGGCAGTAGCCGGCATGTGCCGAGCTGGAGCATGAACCCAGGACGGCTCGGAGTCTGCGCCCACAGCTGCCGGCTGTCCCGCAGCAATTGGGGCATCCGCAATGGGGGACGCTGAGGCTTGGCATGGGTTTGAAGGCACAGAAGGGGAGCGAGCAGCCACTGCCAGCCCACATGGAGGGTCTCTGCCTGCTGGGGACCGGAGGTCCCAGGCTCCAGCCCCAGCAGAGCCCCGCATCCCTGAAAAAGGAATGTCCTAAAAAGAAAGAACGCTGGCCGGGATGAGCGGAGCAAAGAAAAAGAGCCCGAGTTGACAGGGGCGGACTGAGAGGCGGCTGGGACTTCTCGGCCTCTGCACAGCCTTGAAACTCCCCCCCATCCCTTGCAGGGACTCGGCTCTGCGGGGCAGAGGGAGGCCCCCACAGCGGGGACGGTGGCAGGCAAGGGGCATTCCTGGGAATTCCGCCCGGCCCCGCCCCGCCAGCCGCAGACGCCCGGTCCAAATTTGTTTCGCACCGGGCGCGCCAGCAGCCACGTTTCCGGAGCTCGCGCGCCCCCTGCGGACCGTGCTGGGCACTGCTGTGTGACGCAATCCGGAGACACCCACCTGAGTTCCTCGAAGGCGTTGATGTTGGCGCCCAGGTGCGGCTCCGTCACCGCCCCCGACTCCAGAAAAGCCTTTTCAAACCTGAGGGCAGGGTACATCGAGTCCTTGAGGAGCCTTCCAGGCCACGCTATAACCCCGGGTACTCTCTCCCCTCGGGACTCCCCTCCCCTCCGCTCCCCACCCTGGCCGAGGAGCGCCGCACCTGCACAGGAAGAGGCCGAGCTCCCGCGCGCAGATCCGCAAGGTGGTGGCCTCCAGCTCCGCGGAGATGGCTCCCGCCGCCTTCACGTGCTCTGCCACCAGCTGCGAGCGATGCCACTCGCTAAGCCCGCGTCTGAACCCTGGGCTCCAAGGCTCAGTCCCCCACCGAGTGGCCCAGCGACGCCTCCAGCCTGCCCTGCTCTGTCCCACGGTCTCGGATCCAGTTTCCAGCGGTCTCAACATGGGAGTCAACCCTCCCAACTGCCCAGACCTCCCGTCACTTGCCAAGCTGGCAGCTGTGCCCTGGCGCTCGCGGCCTGGCCCTGCGACCCCGAGTCCCTCGCCCTGCCCTGCCCTGCGTGGGTCTTCAAACTCCTGTCTAAGGGGGAGTGGAGGTGAGAACTGGATTTTATAGCTTTGGATGTCCCCACTTCGAGGGAGACCACACCACCTGAGTCCAAACCTACGTTCCCTCCGCAGCCCCGCCCCCCGGCCGTACCATGTGGACATCGGTGGACAGCTGGGTGTGGAAACGGCCCTGCAGCACTTCAGGGGCCTCTGCGGCAGCCCAGAGGCTCTGTTCCAGCTGCAGGATGCCATCGAAGCAGCTGGAGATCTTGGTCTGGGCCGGGGTGGGGAAGAGGGCTCCGTGAGACCCCCCCTCCCTGGGGAGGAGACCCGGGTGTCCCCTGCTTCCTGAGCCCCGTGGCAGGTCCTCGGAGACAAGGGCCACCCAGCACAGGCACAAGCCCGCTCTGGAGCTCCTCAGCGGTCCTGGGCCCCGCCCCCTCCAGCCTGACCCCACCCGGCCTAACCTCTAGGAAGCTGGTGTAGTCGCTCTCCAGTTGGGCCCACACTTCGGGTGCCAGGAGCGGGGGCAGCGGCTCCGTGGAGAGAGTCAAGTCCGGGGCACCCAGGAAATCAGGGCTGGAAGGTACAGTGGAGGCTGATGAGGCAGCAGCTGCCCTCTCCCTCCCCCCAGGCTCAAAGCCTAACACCATCACCACCATGACCGGAGGGTCGCTGGGGTCTCTGGTCACACACTCTACCCCACACCCCACCCTGCAGGATTCTGTGCCAACGCCACCGCACCCCCCATGCTTCTCACTGCTGGATTCCCTGGCTCTGACCATTAGAATATATAAGAACGGCTCTCCAGATGGACCTTGGCCAGACTGCCTCTGAAGAGATCTCTACCCTCGGGGTCAGGGTACACCCAAAACTCAGCTCTAAGTGTGCCCAGTGCCACACCGCTCAGGAACCTGCCACTATCCAGCCCACACCAGGGAAGCCCAGAGAGGGGTGAGCACCTGCCTGAGAACACACAGCAAACTCACCGCCCAGGACTGTAGGCGCCCTCCTCCTGCCCGTGGGGTGGGGCAGCACTGGGCGGAGAGGCGGTCAGGCCCATCGGCCATCACACCGCCCAAAGCCACAGGTGGACCGCCCTGTGCCCTGCTCCCTGGTGGCCGTCCGAAGGGGAGAGTGGGGGTAAAATCCAAGCCGCTCTGAGCCGGTGGTGGCATCCTGCCTGGAGGGGTGCCCTCTTCTACCTCACTTAAAGGTGACACGTGCACCAGGCCTCTCTCTAGGGTTCCCTGCCGAGGTAGCGACCTCCCCTCGGATGCTTCCTGGCTTCTGGAACCCGGGCATGGGTGGCCCCTTGAATGTCAGAGGCCCCTGGGAATTCTCACTTCTGATCACAGCCCTCTCCCGTGGAGGAAAAGGAGAAGAGAGGTGCACTGCGCTGCTCCGAGTGGGCTCCTGAAGGCCTGGGGCGGGCAGTGCCAACCCCTCCCTGCCCTCCGTGGCTCCCTGGCTGGGGCCTCACCTGCCGTAGACATTGGCGGCCCAATCCAGCAGGGTGTAGAGCTGCTCGCAGCCGCGGGCCTCGTGTGCCAGCTCTTGGAGGCGCTGGGCCATCGCGTCGTGGTAGGCGCGCCGGTAGGTCTCCCAGGCTGGGAAACCGGCGGCCGTATAAACGGGCTGCACCTCCAGCTGTATCTTCTGCAGGTCGCAGCGAACCAACCTGCCGAGCTCCGCCAGAACTCTGGCCAGGTCCGATGCGCCCTCCGCCACCTCCGAGGTCCCTCGGACGCCCACCTGCCCCACGCGCTCCTGCGCGCTCCGCCGCACCGCATTCTCCCATTGCTGGCGCCAGCGGCGCGGCGTGCGCAGGAAGTCTCCATCGGCAGGGGACCGGGGATGGGCCTCCTCTTCCGCACGCACCACCTGGGCCAGCTCGGCTAGCGCGGTGGGGTCCACGCCGCCAGGGCCCAGAGTCTCGCGCACAATGGTGCCAATCTCAGCGCCCAGCCCATCGTAGTGCAGGCACACGTCCATAGCGCGCCGCGCGAAGCCCGTAGGGTCCCGCTCGAAGGTGTGCGAAGCTTTCTCGTCCACTAGCTGCGTCTCCTGGTGCTGCAGCTGTTTAAAGGCCGCCAGCAGCTGCCGTTGAGTGATGAGGTCCGCCACAGATTGGCCTTTTTTCGAGGACAGGCCGGGAGAGGGACCATGAGGGGGAATGCCCCAAGAGGCCCGCAGGCCTGCATCTGACCCATTCGGGGCTGGGCTGCCTGGCCCCGGAAATCAGCTGAAGGTCCGCTCTAGGAGCCACAGCCCCACCTGCTGGGAACTGCCCTGGGAATCACCTCTGAAGAGGCAGAGCCTCTGAAAATGGCAAAGTGTATCAGCCCCTGCCTCTGTACCCCCCTCCTTCACCCTTGCTCCCACCCCCGCCCCGGCCCTGCTGAGCTGGGACCCGGAGGCCTCAAGTGCAGCCCTCACCACTGGCAGGTCCAGGGGGTCAGCGCTCGGCCGGGCGGGTCATGCAACGCCCAGGCTCCTGCCCCGGTGTCCAGTGCAGGCGCTTTGTGCTGCTGCCCACTCCGGGCCAGCCCCACCCCCAGGGGCCCCCCGCCTGCCCCTGTGTGTCCTCGCCTGGGCAGACCCCTGACCTCCCCCTAGGCAACCACGGCTCCAGTGCTCTGTGACCCTGGGACCCCAGAGGGCCAGGGCCTTGTCAGTCACTCCAGTTTCTCCAGGGCTCAGGAAGGCCAGGAAGAGGCCAGAGGTCTGGAGCTGTGGGAATCTGTGTTCGAATCCCGTTTCTCCACCTCCCAGCTGGGAGACATGGAGCCAGACACCTATTGTCTCTGAGCCTCACTTGTCTGTGTGCCCAACGGGCTCTCCCCTTTTGACATGTGGGAAGAATTTAAAATGCAGCTGTTGCAATTGCGCGGTGGGGGCGGGGCTGAGGACCTGGGAGGAGAGCCCATTGGGCAGCCTGGTCTTTGCCGTCCCACCCTCTGGCCTCAGTTTCCCCCATGGTTAGTGTTTGTTTGTGACGCCCTCACCTGCCTCAGGTTCCAGTTCTTCAGGTCCCGCCTTGGGGGACAGCTGCTGGCTGACACCATCAACAACCCCACAGGGCATCTCTGAGCCGTGGCCTGCCCCTGTCACAGCGGTGCCCTGACAGTGGTCAGCAGCTGGACTACCGTTCTGGGGGCGCCGTAAGGACCGGAACAGGAAGCGGGAGCTGCGTCGGAGCAGGCCGGGGTCCTCCTCCGAGGCCCGGCCCGAGGCCCGCTGGCCCACCCGGGAGAGAGCCCGCCGGAGGGTGCCCAGGCTTGGCCTCGCGTCTTCATGGTGGGCGCTGGGTGCCTCCTTGCTGCTTGCCCGCCGTGTGCCTTTCACTGGGGTCTGTGGCTCCCCAGGCTCCTTGGAGCCCTGCAGTTCCGGCCTGGAGGTCAGCATCTCGGGTGTGGGCATCTTAGCAACAGAAGAGCTGGGGATGAAGAGGCCCAGCCCTGGACAGCAGCCCTGGACAGCAGGACAGAAACCCGTGAGAGCCTGGGGGTGTCCAGCAGCTTGGTCAGGAGGTGAGCCCCAGGCTGTCCAGGTAGCTGTCATGGCCAGTGCTGTCTGTGTGCCAGGCCACAGCCAGTGCCGACATATAGACAGCTACTTCCTCCAGGAAGCCCTCCCTGATACCACCTGCCAAGAGTCTCCCCCAGGGCCCACCTTCTCGGGTTCTGCCAGGTCAGGCTCTCCATCAGAGTTGGACGGGGACAGGGCCTGCAGTTCTGCTGCCCAGCCCGACCCACAGCCCACAGTTTCCTGGGCTGGGCCCTGCAACCACGTCCAAGACTTCCTGGACCTTAGGTCCTCAGCCTGAAACGCCCACCACCACCCAGCGTGTTCACCATCCCCCAACCCCCCAGAGCCCTCAGCTCATCCCCATCAGCCTATCAGGCCAAACTGCTTCTGCTAAACGGTGCTCAGAGACTCCCGTGGGCAGCCACTCTGTCCCGAGACTAGCCACAGAGCATGCTCCGAGGGCACCCCCAGAACTAGGGGGAGGCGGGGTCAGGCTGAGGGCATTGGCGGAGGCCAGCTTATCGGGGCCTGCAGTCCTCAGGGTTGGGGGGGTATGGTGGGAGGAGCCCTGGTCTATATTTAACCAGGGCTGGGGGTGCCCATCGCAGCTTCTCACCCCTGACATCTCCCACATTCACCCCACTGTGCTCTCTAGCTTCCATGTCATAGGGGGTGAGGAGGGGGTCCCTAGGGTGTGGGGGTGCAGGTCAAAGGCTGGCCCTACCCCCCAAGGCCCCCCGGGGCTCTGCCCACTTCTCTCAGCCCAGTAGGGCTGTGCTTGGCTTTCTGGCTTCAGGTCATGTTCAGGGTGGGAGAGAGGAGAGAACATTTCCTGCCCACTGGGCAGAAGGTCCCAGCAAGGCCAGGTGCAAGGTTTCACTCCTGCCTTGGAGAAACGAGGGCCAAAGGAAGGGCAGGGCCTGCTGAAGTCACTGACGCAGAGGCTGAGGCCCACCTCGTTCCCAGGTCCCCCCTCCCTCGGGGACCACGGCCAGGCTGCCCAGGCCTCGCCCACCCATCCCTCCAGTGAAGTGTCTGTCCAGGGGCCAGACATGCAAGGGGGCACAGAGGCCTACCTTCCTCTCCCTCGGGCCTCCGGGCAGCTGGAAGGAGGGAGGGTTGGGACCAGGTGATTGATGGGAGCCTTATCAGCCCCACCCCAGCCACAGGTCATCGTCCTCCCCAGGCACCAGGACCGGCCTGACCCTGACCCTGCACACAAGGCAGGGAGCCAGGTGTCCTCTGCCCTCCCCAACCCCTGGCGCCCCCGGGCCCTAGCAGGGGCAGGAGTGGGGACGCAGAGAAGTGTGGTGGGGAGCTGCGCTCTGCCCGCCCGGGCTCCAGGCCATCACTAGGGGCCTGTGGGCAAAGGCTGAGATGGCTCCTGTTGCAGCTGAGAAAAGCCCGCACTGAGCAAACTCCTGGCACTCGCGGCAGCCCTGAGACAGCAGAGCCAAAGGGTGCGGTCCGAGCCATTGCCTGGATGAGGGGGCAGCCTCCAAGAGCAGTGGGGGCTCACCTTCAGCCACACGGCCCAGGGGTGGGGAGCCCCGGCCGGCCCAGGTCCGTTTGCACCCTGGGGGAAGAGGCCGGACTCCCTGCTCCTCAGAACCAGCCAGTCGGGATTGCCGTCCAAGGAGCCCTTTCACTGGGCAGAAGGGCCCAAGGTGGGGGCAGCTCCCAGATCCCAGGAGCAGGCCAGGCTTGAAGGTCTCCTGGGAAGCCTGGAGGCAGATTCTGGGGGAAAGAGAGGCAGCTGGTGACTGGGTGTCGTGGGAGGTTGCTCGGGGCCCACCTAGCCTTCTCATTCACCCTCGTCCCAAACCAGAGCTATGGTGCAGGTCACTTGGGGCCCCGGGACCTGCTCCTGCAGCTGCCGGAGCCATTCTTGACCTTCCCAAAGTATAAGCCAGCCAGGCCCCGCCCCAGTCGAAGTCCCACTGTGGCTCCCACAGCCCTTGGGCATTGCCTGGGCCCACTGCTCCGCACTCAAGGCCCACGGTCCGGGACCGAGCTGTCCCCAGCCTCCGTGCCTGCACCCACCCGGTTCCCTGGGCGCCGGCTCAGCCCCACAGCATAGCCTGCATCCCAGCTTCCGCTCAGGGTTTCAGGACCCAGGAGTGCTGGTGCCCTCACCTCAGTCTATGGAGTCCTGGGGCTGTGCTGCACCCCACCCCCACCCCCCATCTGCTCAGGGCACTTGGGACGGTCCCTGTGGTGATGGGGCCCTCCTTACTGGCTGGGCAGCCTCTGACCACCTGGCACCACAGAGCCAGCCTGGAGGAGGAGTGAGCCACGAGTTTCCGGGGTGCCGCTACCCAGGCTGGCCTGGCTGGGGTCCACGCTGGGGCCCAAGGGCTGGGCTCTCTGCTGACTGCACCTTGACTTCTGCCCTACACTTGCCTCCCCACACCCAGGAGTCCCCCTCTGGCTCTCTGTCCTCATTGACCTGGGTGTCCAGAGGCCCTGGCTTCTGCATCTGGGGCTCAGCACCAGCTGAGCTTCAAGACCCAGGAAACTAGGACCAGACTAAGTCCTGGGCCCCACGTTCCCTAGGTCAGGCCGGCCCAGCTGCAGAGCCAGCGGAAGGGGCAGAAACGCCACCCTTGGATCCTGTCTCCTCAGAGCAAGCAGGTGGTGGTGGTGGGGGGGTGTCTTGCTAAAACATAAGTCTTCCTTGAAATCCTTCCTAAAAATAAGGGAGAAGACAGGTGTGTTCTCACCACACTATTCCACATTTGTTAACATAATAAGGCAAGAAAAATAAATAAGAGGTATAAAGATTGGGAAGGACCTGGTAAAATCGTCATTCATAGGCAAGTAGCTATTTCTTACCGGGCTGGTGTGGCTCAGTGAACTGAGTGCCGACCTGCAAACCGAAAAATTGCAGGTTTGATTCCTAGTCAGGGCACATGCCTGGGTTGTAGGCCAGGTCCCCAGTTGGGAACGAGCAAGAGGCAGCCAATGTTTCTCCTTCTCTTGTCTCTCTGAAAATAAATAAATAAAATCTTTTTTTTTTTTTTAAGAAAATAAGCCTATTAGAAAAAGGCACTTGAAAGGCTCCCCCATCCCCTGGCTGGTGTAGCTTAATGGGTTGAGCACTGGCCTGAGAACTGAAAGGCTGCTGGTTTGATTCTTGGTTGGGGCTCATGCCTGGGCCAGGTCACCAGTTGGGGGTATGTGAGAGGCAACCAATTGATGTACCTCTCAAACATCTATGTTTCCTTCCCTCCCTCCCTCCCTCCCTCCTTTCTAATTTCTCTAAGTAAATACATAAAAAAATTAGAAATCAATGGATTGAATGGCAGCCTGCAAGTCAAAGGATCACAGGTTCAATTTCCAGTCAGGGCACATGCTGGGTGTTGTGCTGTGGGCCGGTCCCCAGTAGGGGGCGTGTGAGAGGCAACCACACACTGATGTTTCTTTCCCTCTCTCATGGCCACCTCCCGTCCATCCCCCCACCCCCCACTGGGGACCCTGCCTGCAACCCAGGCATGTGCCCTGACTGGGAATCAAACCTGCGACCTTTCAGTTTGCAGACCACCACTCAGTCCACTGGGCCACACCAGCCAGGGCAATAAATAAAATCTTTTTCAAAAATCCATAAAGATATCCTCAGGTGAGGATTAAAAAAAGACTCTGCCTGTACAGCAACAACACCTGAAACCAGATCAGGCTGTCCTGGCCCTCAGAGCAGCACAGGCCCCCCCGCTGTGCGCTGGGCCTTCAAGGCCCCCCCCCCCCCCCGGCTGCTTCTCCCACTCCCAACACCTCTGCCTCACACCTTTGCACAGGCTGCTCCTTCTGCCAACAGGGACCTCACCCCCACCTCCTCCATCTGCCAGCTCCTTCGAGGCTCAGAACAAGTGGCTCCTCCCCCAAGAAGCCTCCCTTGATCAGCCGAGCCCCCAGGACGGCCAGCACCTCCCTTGCTGAGTCCGGTCTGGCCCCCAGCATATCTTCTCCCGGGACTGAGGAAGCTACAGGCTCTGGGGCATCTGCCCTTTGACCAGGTCACCGTCCCCCAGGGCGGGGAGTGTCCCAGGAAAGCAGAAAAGCAATCTAATCTAGTAGGAGCATGAGCCTGTGGGTGTGTCCTTCCTTTCGTGTGCACGGGCTCTGCACACCTGTGTCGGTCTGAGTGTGTCTCCTTGTGTGTGCCTCTGACCCAGAATGCGTGTGCCTCAGGAGGCCTGTGGGCGTTTCTCTCCGTGAGTCCGGGTGGCTGTCTGTGCCTGCACACATGTCTTCATGCCCTGCCCGCCTGTCTGTCTGTCTGCTTCCTGCATTTGTGTGTGTCCACCGTGATTAGCTGGCACTCTGGCCTGGACTCCGAGCTGAGGCCCATGGCCCGGAAGGCCACTAGTAGAACTGGAATTGTCCACTGTCCCTTGAGTCCCCGCCCACTGACCACAGCACGCCCGTGGCCCCCCTGCTCAATCTGCACGGAACGTACCTGCTGAGTAGGTAGACGCTGCGCCTCGGCGGAACAGGGCCACCAGGACGGGCCACCAAGCTGGGCCCTCAGAGCCGGCCCAGGCAGTGAGGCCTCTGGGGCAGCCAGAACCGGTGACCAGCAGCTGGGACTTCCCAGCTGTGACCAGTGCCTGCTTGGCCCACCGGCCCCACCCCCAGCCCCACCCTCCGACCGACCCCATACTTTCACTTTCAGAAACGTTCCCACCCCCTTCCATTCCAGAGGCAATCTGTCCAACCTTAGAGTCCTGGCCGCCCAGGGCCCAGGCTGAGGTTCGGGGAGCGTGAACAGAGGCATGCAGACAGATGGGGACTGTGGCGACTGCCAGCTCCTCCGGCAGTCAGATTCAGGCCAGCCCGGGGCCACCCAGCCTACAACCGCCAAGCCTGGAAGGACCCCTCCCCGCAGGACAGAGGTGCCAGCTCCAGGCCTGTCTGCCAAGCTCATCCTGAGAGTCCCTGACTGGCCCTGGGGGCCAGGAGGGCAGGAATGGGACCTTGATTGGCAGGGTGAGGGGTGGAGACACAGGGACAGCAAAGGAAACAGCCCTCCGCGGCTGCTGAAAGAAAGGGGGGCCCTGGTGGGCTGACAAGTCTGCCCTCGGGCCGAGGAGGGGTGGCTGTCTGGGCGGGGGTCAGCATGTGAGCAAAGGTGGGGGGCCTGAACTGGGAACGCAGCCCCTCCTCCCCCGAGGATCAAGTCGGAGAATTTTGTGGGGTCACTGAGATTTCCCAGAAGAGGCAGGCCCCTCGAGGTTGTGGGGGGATTCCACTGCCAGCGTCCCAGGAAAAAACTTAGGGAAAATCCCAGGGAGACAGACCCAGGCCTGTCCCACCTGGGCTGGAGCCATGGGGGCGGGGCAGGGGGGACAAGGCAGGAGAGGTGCCCTGGCAGGACAAGGCAGGAGAACAGGGGCGAGCTTGTCGGGAGGCTCCGGAGCACAGACCGGCAGGCTGGGCCCCCCGGACCGCAGGCCCTTGTCTCTCACCGCCCTGCAGGCTGGAGGTCAGAGACCCAGGCAGGCGCAGGGCTGGTTTCTTCTGAAGCCTCTCTCCTTGGATGGGAGGCGGCCGGCTTCTCCCTGTGTCCTCACGCGGACGTCCCGCTGTGTGTGTCTGTGTCCTTGTCTCTTCTCCCTGCGGGGACCCCAGGCAGACCAACCAGGACCCACCCTCCGGGCCTCGTCTCGACTTGGGCCGAGAGGCCCTGTCTCCAAACACAGTCACGCTCGGAGTCACCGGGGGTTAGGACTTCAGCACCAGCTGAGATGCTGCTGCCCCTTGCTGCCATCAGCAGATGGGCCCAGCTGGGCCCAGAGACTCCAGCTCCTCCTCCAGGAAGCCCTCCCTCTTCCAGGAAGGCCTCTGGCGCACCACTTGGGCCATTAGCTCCGTGAGCCCTGGGCTCCCCCCTGTGAACTAGGGTCCCAGCTCAAGCCCATGGGACACCCAGCCAGTTGGATGGGCTTCCCCCCACACGGCCGGCCTGCCTGTTGTTCTCCCGTCCCCTGTACCTCTCACCATCAGAGACTGACAGATGGGAGGAGCAAGCATGACTCAGGGACAGAGGGCCGGTGCCCATGGGGCGGCCTGTCAGGGCGCTGGGCAACTCTGTCCAGCTGGGGGCCCCGCGAGTGAGCTGGTCCCCGACGTTTGGCACTGGTGCACTGACTCAGAGTGACACAGGGTCCCGCTCACGGCCGCCTGGCTGGCTGGACAGAGACCAGGCCTGCAGCCCAGTACCCTACCTCTGAGGCCAGGGTTGTCCTCTGGAGACCGGCCCCGGGGACCCCGGGGACCCCTCGGACTCACCCTCCTCTTCCCCAGCTCACAGGGCGGGTCCCGTGGTGGATCGCCTCCCCTCAAGAGACAGGCCCCTGAAAAGCTGGTGGTGCCCAGGGCCTGGGGGTGTCCTGGACTTCCCCCCAAGTGCCAGCTGCGCCCCACATCTGCCCAGACCTGCTCCCGCTTCCCAGCAGGAGGCTGTCATGTTTCACCTTTCATGTTGCTCCCCAGCATCCCGAGTAAAGCCCCTCAGGAAAAGCCCCCGACTCTCTGAGAGGCGCCTCAGGCCAGGGCTGGGCGGGCAGGTCAGGGAAGGCGGACAGGAGGCCCCCCACCCCGCGCTGCGCAGCCTCGGGAGCACCCCAGTCCACTCCTGCGTGAGACGAACGGGGCTGCTGTTGGGATGAATGGGTTCACCTCGCAGGAGGACCTGGCTCCCAGGGCAGGACGGGGACCCTCCCCCAGATGCCTGCCTGTCCTCAGAGCTCCTGGGAAGAAGCCAGGCTGCCTCCCGCCAATGCAGAGGCCACAGGTGTCGGTTCCGCCCGCAGTGCTGCCAGCTCGGGCCAGACACGCATCTGAGAGCCGGAGGCCTGGGCCCGTCCTCTGTCCCTAACTGTCTGAGCCCTGGTCTCTCCAAAGACCAGGAGACCCTTCTCCGAATCCCATCGAGGGGTGATGGGGTGAGGTGGGGCTTAACCATGGGCGGGGCGTCTGTTTCTGGCACCGCCCCCCTCAACCAAGACAGTCGTTGAGAGCTCTGGTTGGGCTGGGACCCTGCTGGGTGTGAAGGCTGAGGTCTGTGGCTGCAGGCTCCTGAGCTGACCTGGGGAGCCTATGGCCGGGCTGGGGTGCTCTGCCTGCCCCCGCTGGGCTGCCTCTCCGGGTCTGACGCCCGCACCCCAGCTCACCCCACACCCCCAACTATAGGTCACTGAAGACCTGCCGGGTTACTACACGGCGCACTCCAGAGTGGCACCGCGGGCGCTGCGGCTCTCAGGTCTCAGGTGCACCCGGGACTCCAAGCCCAGCTCTTTGTCAGCTGCCAGCCCTAGGAAAGGTCGGGTTTAAATGGGTGCGGCACTGCCCGGGAGGGCGAGGATGCAATCTCTGTCCACAGCACCGTGGCCCGCCTTATGGTCCTCACCAGGGACCGGAAAGCACCCCCTGGCTCAGGCCCCTTGCTCTGCATTCCAGTGCCAGCAAGTCCTGGCGACACTTCCTGTGCAGTGTCTGCCCACTTTCCCACCCCCTTGAGGACCAGGCAGGAAGGACCGAAGGAGGACAGCCTGGCACCTGTCCCACCTTGCAGTCCAGGGCCCGTGCGGGGGCCCGCGGGGTCGAGAGGCTGAAACTCCAGCAGGACCCCAGCCTGCCAGGCAGACGTGGGCACTTCAGCCTCCCACCTCTGCTGCGTTTGGGTGAGGGGCTAGTTTTAGAGGGAAGGCAGATTGGAGAAGGGGCGTGAGTTACCCTGGAGGCTAGCAAGGCCTGCAGGAGGCTCGGAAGGGGGCGTCTCCCCCCCCCCACCGCGAGTGCTCACCGGGCCCTGCTCCGCCCGGCCCGGTCCTATGTGGCGCTACCCCCTGCCAGGCCCTGAGCTCCCTCAGGCCTCATGGCCAGGCTGGCCGCAGACAGGGAGCCAGGCTGGGAAGGTGGGAGAGAGGGTGGCGCACCAGGGGAGTGGGCCCAGGCAGTGACCAGGCTTCTGTCCTCCATGCCAGCCAGGCCAGCCAGCTGGGATTCCGTGTCCTCATGCAGTGGGACAGAGCCAAGAGACAGAGCCACCAGACGCCAAGGAGAGACAGGACCCTCACGTGGCGCAGGAAGAAGTGCCACCTAATCTCCTAGGTGGGCAGTATGTCTAACTCGGGGGCCTCCCAACCTTGGGAATGCTGTTATAGCCGTGGGCACCGCCCTTTACCCCTTGGTTACCTCCACTGTAAAATGGGGCTTCTGTATGGGTTGATTAGATCCAGCCTGGCGTAGCCCCCACCGCCGTACCATCCCTGGTACCTGGTACCTGGAGGGAAGGGGTGACGGCAAAGACTCCGGCCCTCAGGGCCCAGCCAGGGCTGCAGGCCCCAAAGAGGCGTGGGGAGGGGGCCTGGAGGACTCCAGTCCTGTCCCGGGCGGCTGGGGCGGGAGTAAGTAGGCGGCCACCCCGCGCTCCACCCGCACACAGAGCCCCCACGTGGCCTGTCGCTCACCACCCGGCCAGGTCAGCCCGGGCTCCACGCCAAAACCCTGCCTGGAAAGCCACGGGCAGGTCCACAATTGTCCGCAGCCCCTCAATCGCCCACCAAGTGCGCCCACCACTAGGAAAAACCTTTATTTCCACTTCAAACCACGGAACGAGGAGGAGGCGGGTCCCGGTGGGGTCCTGACCGAGGATGGGGGAGGGCAGGGCTGTGGGCCCGGCCTGACGTGGTGGGGCCGGAAGCTCTGTTCTCCACACAGCAGCCCGGCCACCTGGGATGCAGGTCCTCTCTGCCGTGGGCGGCAACGGCAGGGTTGGCAGGGACAGCAGAGCCTGGCCGCGTCCTTGTCCTGTCACTGGGCCGGGAGGGCCTGGTTCTCAGAGCTGGCCTGCTGGCTGCCAGCGTCGTCTGGAGCGGTGTCCCCTGATGGTCCTGGCAGACTCAGGGAGGGGCTGCAGGAACACCGAGGCCCCTGTCGGCGGGACTGGGCTCCTGACGGGTTTGCAGGGCAGCGTGTGGGACGGGGCAGCCACCGTTCCCACGGCGAAGGAGGTGCGCACCTCGGGGTCGGGGGGAGGAAGGACCGGGCCAGGCTCTGGGAGCAAGGCAGCCTCTGCCCTGACGCCAGCACAGGGGGTGGCAGACTGGAGGAGGCCAGGGCAGACTGGGGACACCCCAGAACCCAAGTCCCCCCCCCCCCCCCGCCCAAGGGGCTGCCCTGCCGTTGTGAGAGGAACCTGACAGCAGGCGGGGGGCTTCCGGACGATGATGGGGGTTGTGGCGTGGACGGGCGGCTTCTGGGCCCAAACTTCAGGGGGCGGCTGACCAGTCAGGGCTGCTGAGGGTGGGGGCGGGGGAGGGTGAGATCTGAGGGGGGAGAGGGCAGGCAGGGTGCTAAGCATCTCCGGCGGAGGCCAAATTCATTTCCTCACCAGGGGACAGACTCCCTCTCATGTGACCTGAAGAGGCCCCCTGGCTCCGCCCACTGTGTGGCCTGCGTCTGGCTCTAGCTCCCAGCCGCACCGGCCTCCTCCAAGAAGCATTCCAGCCTCAGCAGCCCCTGGGCCTCCCACCGGGGCACCTGAGGGCAGGATGGGAGCCCGCTGTGGGCTGGCTTGTCTGCCCCTCCTGGGCACCTGGGCTGGGCCTGCTCGGTGCCCCTACCCTCACCCCTTCCAGTCCCTACTGGACAGCGCTGGAGCCTGGGGGAGCGAGGAGTCGGACAGGACCGTGAGGGGTGAGGTATCGGCCTCTCGTCCAGCAGATACTCGCTGCGTCCGCCTCTGCACCCTGGGCCCAGCGGTGGATGAAGGGACCTCGGGTGCAGGTGAGAGAGGGGTGGCGGCAGGCCAGGCGGTGCCTAGGCACTTAAGCAGAGGCCTAGCAGGCTGCTGCACTGAGGTGGGGCGAGCAGGCTGGCAGGTGGAGGGCCCCGGGTGCAGGGGTGGGCAGGAAGGAGGCCCTGCTTCTGACCCCCTCCCCGTGGGCCCCCAGGCAGCCCTCACTCACCAGCAGCACCCTGGATCTTGGGGGAACCCTGCTGGGTGCCCTCCGGGGGCCAGCGCAGCTCCCCGCTCTCCACAGTGCCCGCCTCGCTGGGCTCCACCACGATGGACGGCAGCCGCTGGCCCGGCCGAGGGCCCTTCTCCCAGGCACCCAGCACAGCCTGCAGGCAGGGCGGGCAGGGGTCAGGGCAGGGGGCGCCCTGGGCTCCCCGCTCCCTCCCACGCCTGTCTTGGGGCCCTCACACCTCCACAGACAGTGTCCCTCCTCCACCCCACCCCTGGGGCCGGGCCCTTGGCACTTGGGGTCCCGGCTGTCCCTGAGGTGCCACAGCAGCCACATGGGCTTACCCCTCAGACTCGTTTCCCAGATAGGAGTCTGAGGCTGCGGAGGTCAAGGCTACACAGCGAGTGAGCCCAGGGATTCTGTGCAGCCCCCAGCTGCCTCCCATTTCCTGCGCAGCCTCTACCTGGGGTCTTCCCCGCCAGGCCCTTGGCCTCTTCCCTGCTCAGAGGACCTGGGAGGCTGTTGCCATGGCTACCTGAGCAGCACACTCTGGGCTCCCTGTTCAGTGCCCGCAGGAGTGGGGGGGGCGCCCCCCCAGCCCTCCCGTGCCCTCAGCATCTCCACCTCCCATTCAAGGCCCTCCGAGGTGGAGGCTCCAGCACCCGGTGCTGCTCCCCCCTGGCCCTCCCCTCCCGCGCTGCCCAGACTGGCCTGCAGGCCCCACCTCCACGCACCTGCTCAGGCAGGTTCTTTCCAGGAGCTCCCACCCCCACCTTTTTCACCCAGCAGTGCAGCTGGTGGGTGCATGTCTGCCCTCCCCTGGGGGCACGAGGGCCCCGGGGACCGGCAGGCACACATCGGGCAGGGCTTCGCTAAGCTGTCCTAGAGCCACAGCAGAACCACCTGAACACATGCTCAAATGCACATTCCTGGGCTCCCACTGGGATTCTGCGTGGGGGACCAGGAATCAGCATTTTAACCTAGTGCCCCAGGCGACCTTGAGGTGTGAGGACAGGTGTGGCTGGGTTGGGCCGTCTGTGGAATCAAAGAGCAGAGCAGGGACCCCAGCCATGCCCCAAATTCCTGCGTTTCCCTGCTGGCGTTCGGGTCCAGGGGCTACGTCCCCCAGCTCCAGAAACACTTCCCACCCGTCATTCTCCTTCCTGCCTCCTAAGGGAAGCCCTGCCGGCCCCCAGCCAGGGGCGTGACTCTGCCCAGAGGGAGACCCCGGCCAGCAGAGCTCAGAGTTCCAAGGCCTGGGGTCCCCCTCCCCCTCCTGCCCGGCCAGGGAGGCCATGCCCACAACCCCAGGCTGCAGACCGGCCTCGGTGCCACTCTGCCCTGCACCCCCCACGATGCCCACAGTGAGGACTCAGAATGCTAAGGCCGTGCTCCTTGGGTAGTGAGCTCACTTGTAGCTCCATCAACACCCTCGTCCAAAAAAAAAAAGCTGGAGCTGAGGCCAGGGCGCTCTGGCATTGCTTCACCAGCAGAGAGAAAACCACCCTTGGGCCAAGCTCTGGGGTCCCCGTGGTCCGGAAGGGGCGCTGCGTAAGCCGGGGCAGCTCAGCCTTCGGTCGCCCTCTCCACCAGACCCCCACAAAAGAGCAAGTGCGTCCCCATGCAGATGGGTAAACTGAGGCACACCCCAAGACAGGGGCCGGGACTGGAGGCTGGCTGTCTCCTTTCCCTCGAGGCTGGGACCGGCCCCCGGGGCCCCGACTGCAGACCTGTCCTGCTCGGCCTTTGGCCTCTTCAGCTGGGCTTGGCTCTGGCACGGCCGGCCGGGGACTGCAGGGGAACGGCGTGCAGACGGACGTGCAGACAGAGGTCTGCGGGGGCCGGAAGGTGGATCCCACCCTCCTCCCGGAAGCCTCCCACTGCTGCAGCTGCCTCCCCACACAAGCCTGGTCCCCGTGCCCATGGCCCAGCTGGACCTCTGTCACTGTTAATCCCGGCCTCAGCCTGCCACCAGAGGGCCACTGGATGGGCCCTGGCCTGGCGCACAAGGGTCAGAGGGCAGGGCCAGGACGGGGTGAGGCTGACCCAGCCTTAGGAGCCACCAGGGCTTCCTGGAGGAAGGTCAGCTCGTCTGAGGCCCAGGGGATGTGCAAGAGGCAGCCAGGCCAGTGGGGAGGAGAGATGTTCTGAGTCGGGAAACAGGTGGGGTGGGGTGGGGTGGGGGGGTGATGTGGAGACAGGAGGCACCCAAACTGGTTTCCAAGGCTGGGAGCTGGAGGGGCCAGGTTCAAGGCAGCCAGAGGCAAAGGGGCCCAGCTCCCCACTCCCCCCAAAGCAGACACCCCCATACCCAGAGTTGGGCCCTCAACCCGCAGCTGAAGGGGAGCCTGCCTGCCTTGGCCCTGCTCACAGGCTCACTCCGGCCGGGCCTCAGGGTGAGGCGCCTGGCAAGACCAGAGAGTGCACAGCAGGGGCTCTGGAAAGGGGCGCCCCAGCCTTGGATGCCCCACCTGAGGCAGCCGTGGGGTGAGCTCTGGCGGGCAGACACCTCCCTTTGGCACTGCTGGGAGGGGAGCTGGGCCCCAGGCAAGGGCAGGAGTGCTGGGGTGGGGGGCAAAGTGGGCAGAGGGTCAGCGGTAATGGGCTCTCGGGGACCAGGAGGGTGAAATGCCTGTGATGTCCTGCTGGTTGTGGGCACGTCCTGTGGGCACCCAGCAAAGGGGGGAGGTGCTATCCTGGGAAGTGAGGTTTCTTTCACCACTTAACCTGGGTCAGCTCAGTCCCCACTGAGACCCAGGGGAGGAGAGGGGGCACAGGCCGGGTGGGGCATCTGGGGCAGAGGGCACCCAGGCCATGCCCACCGGGCCTCCACCCCACCCCAGGGCATCCCCGGCCCACCACTCCCAGCTGGACGTCTGCTGGAGCCCAGGGCAGCTGGGACAGAGAAGGGACAGACATGAGAGAGAGACCGAAGAGGCAGCGCACCGCGGGCCGCAGACAAAGCCGAGAGGACCCGCTGGAGGAAGACGGAGAGAAGCAGCAGACCCGGAAAGGTAAGGGCGAGGAGAGTGACGACAGACACAGGTGGTAGAGCCGTCACCTTGGGCGGGCCAGGCTCCAGCGACAGCGGGGTCACCAGCCCACCGAAGGCTCCCACCGCCCACACCTCAGGTGGCTCCCAGGTTAGGGGCGCCGCTCCCGACCAAAGCCTGGCGCGCAGCAGCCGAGGGCTCACGAGATCCCCGCGCCCGCCCCTTCCCCAGGAGCTCCGACTGAAACCCCCCTCAACTGTCCTCCTTCCTTCCCTCCCACTGGCGCCACGCCTGGACAGCCGGGCGCACCGGGGCCGCGGGCTGGGGCGTGGGTGGGGAGGGGGCGCCCTGTGCCCTACGCCTCACTCACACTCACCGCGCGCGCCGGACGCTCGCGCTGGGCCGCCAGGCTAGGCTGGGCGCTGCTGGCCTGGCTCGCGCTCCCTCGCTCCGCTCTCCCTCCCCGCGCTCCCCGCCCACACGCTCTCAGTAGCCCGGCCCCGCATTCACACTCACGCCCCTCGGTGCTGCCATCCTCCCGGCTCGGCTCTGCTCTGCTCCCAGGTAGGACACCAGCCTCAACCTCTCTTCGACAGGACCCTCCCCCTCCCCCCCAGAACTTGACCACTGTCCCTTGAGACCCAGAGCCTCAAGTTCGAGGTTCCGGAATTCGGGAGACAGAACTGGGTGGGGCCAGATACATAGAAAGAGGACACCCTAAAAAACGGAAAGCCAGGGGCTGGACAAGGAAATGGGAAGGTCGAGATGCACCTCTGTGGGGGAGGCCGTCGAACTCCTTCCAGCCCCTTCATTCCCAAGAAGGATGGAAGCAGCCTGGGACAGTCCCCTTCAGCTGGGTGCTCAGACCGACCCCGGAGGCCAAGGTGCAGGACCTCTGGTACTCGTGGTTTCCTGTGGTCCTGCCGGGCAGCCTCTAATACTTGCCTCCCAGCCAGCACCCCAATCCACTGTTCAGTATCCGCTTCTCCAACCAGCGCCATCTACCATGCTGCACCCAACATCGTCCCTAGCCAGCAGCCACCGCACCACTCTCCAAATCCAACCACCGTCCGCTGTCCGAACCGCAGGCCCCCGTCCATGACCGCCCTCACCCACCATTTGCCAAGCCGGCATTAATACCCTGTGAAGACAACTGCCAGCCCCGTGTTCACTCACCGCCCACCACCCAGCGCCTGTCCACGCGCCACCCCTGTCTGGCAGCCTCCCCTCAGCACTGAAGGACTCTCCGTCCATCTGCCGTTCACTGGTCTGTCCACCACAAGCCTGGCCGTCAGCTGCCTGCTGTTCATTTATCCAGATTTACCCCCCACCCGTCCACTAGCCTCCTTCCACCCAATCAGCCACAATCCACCCATCGACCAGGGTACATTCAGCCACCACCAGTCACTCACAGTCCTTCCCCATTCCTAGTTTTGTGAACTATACAACCCACCAACCGCCTTCCCAGCAGCCACCTGCCACCCACCCACCCACTTCTTACCCTGCAGTCGCTTATCTCCGTAAGTGGTCCAGTGCCGTCCACCTCTCCACACCCTCCCTGCACCCCTCCTCACCCAGCTGGGTGCACTGTTCCTCCCAAACCCACTCGGCTGTCATCTGCCATCCATCCCTCCCTGCCCCTGCTGGCAGAGTCACCGAGCACCCTCGGTGTCGAGCACGTAGCGCGGGCCAGAGAAAGCAGTGAGCATCCACCCCCCACACTGAAGCCTCCAGAACAGCCCACGCACTGCCCACCTGGTCCCACGAGCGCATCATTCCCCATCCATTACGCACTCGATACCTGTCTTCGCTCCTTACCTGTCCCCGTCCCCTTGCCACACACCTGTCTTTCTCCATTTACACACTGAACCAGCCCCTGCACGTCCCATCATGGCGCACCTTCCATGGCTCCACCTTCTTCACACCCACCATTCGCATTTCAGGCATCTCTTTCCCAAGATGCGGCCACGTATCACGTAACCTCCATCCACCATTCACGCCACCATCATCTAGTCACCCAAAGTCCACCTGTTGCACGCTCACCATTCACCTCCCCTCTACACTTCACGGCACACGACGGGGTGCCCACCCCCCTGGCAGCCGCCTGTTCACTGTTCCTCCATTCACACGCCACCCAGCCACTGTCGGCTTGTCCACCTTTCACGATCCACCCAGCGATGCACGTACGTTCCCGTGTGTCTGTCGTCTGTCCATCCGTTCTCCACCTGCTGTTTACTCACCACCTGCCCCCTGTCGCCTCCAATTAGCCCACTGCAGATTCCTTCAGGACACGTCAATGTGTCAGTTTTGTGTCCACAGCCATCTACTCTTCTTCTGCCAATCAACGGCCTGCCTATCTGTTCACCGTCACTTAACCGGCTGCCGTTGCACAGGGGTATCCACCGCCCACCAACTTCCTTCCGCTCACATTCTAACGCTCCATCTGTCCTATCTACGCCGAGTCCTGCGCCGATCCAAACAGCACCCGTACACCGTCCCCCGCAGGCTACCACTGCACTGTTCACCCGTGAGGTCACCTCCCTGTCCAGCCACTCAACCCTGCCACCCGTCCGCCCTCCTGACACACACTCCTCCGTTGTCCTTGTGTTTTGCCCTTACGCTGCCCGTACACACAGACCTCAGGTAGCCACTCTCACTCCCACCCCCATCCCCAGCCAGCCATCTTCTTGCCATTCTTTTGCCCATTCATTCATATGCTATACACTTATGTATTGATAAATAGCAATACTAAACATTTACTTTGTATGTTACAATTTTTAAAGATTTTATTTATTTAATTTTTAGAGAGAGGGGAAGGGAGGGAAAAACAGGGAAACATCACTGTGTGGTTGCTTCTCACGTGACCCGTACCAGGGACCCGGCCTGTAACCCAGGCCTGTGCCCTGACTGGGAGTCTAACAGGCGACCCTTTGGTTTGCAGGCCGGCACTCAGTCCACAGAGCCACACCAGGCAGGGCATAACATTAAACACTTATTTCTAGTTCTACTGCTGGGTCTTGGGCTCATCAAGATGAGTAAGATCCCACCCAACCTCAGGGGCTGGTGAATTCAGGGCCTGAGGGGGGAGTGTCCCCGCGAGGTTCGCAGAGGCCGGATCTAGGTGCTGTGCCTGTCACGTGGGAGACCTCACCCAGTGGGTGCAAGGAGGTGAAAGTGGAAAAACAGGTCGGCCTAGACGGTGCAAGGCTGGGACACCCGGTTGAGGGACAGGTCCCTGGGGATGGGTCCTGATGAGGATGCAGCGCTGGGGGAGGAGCCAGGCAGGCAAGCCCACCCCCGCCCCCTGCAATACACACACGCTGATCACTCGCTGGAAAGCCCCGGAACCGGAACTGGAAAGCAATGCTCATGGTCACTGCCCAACTGGAGACACCCTCCTGTCACCTCGGCCTGCACTGGCCTGCTCCCCGCCCCCAAAGGCCACCTCACTCCTTTCCACTCCGGCAGGAATTGCTCTCTGTACTTGTTAATGAGGGCGCTAGCTGTCACCTAAGGTGCTGGATGTCATCCAAGGCGCTAGCAATGGGCGTCACAGTTCCTGGGGATTGTTCTTGCGGGGTAAAGCTCGGGGCAGAGAGTAGGGGTCAGGGAGCCTCTTTAGGATGGGCCCGCGGAGTCAGCCTGAAGGCCCATCTTTGCCTCCAGCCTCCCACCCCTCGCCTCCTTCTCCCTCCGGTCGCCCCTGCCCCCAGGAGCCTTTCCACAGCAGCGGGCAGATCTGGAGGCAGCAGCCGTGTCCTGACCACGCCCGGCCGGCTCTGTGTCCCTGGGAGGCTCCGCCGCCGGCCCGGGCCTTGGAGTCCCTGCCAGTGCAGTTGGAGGACGGAGTGGGCGGAACGAAGCCCGAAATCCGACCGTCTCCGACACTGGAGTGGTTCCTCCCCAGCGCCCTCGGCCGCACATTCCCCCTCCGCAGCGTGCGTGGAGGGGAGGGCAGCGTCCCGGGGCGGCTGCGGCCAAGCAACCCGGGCTTCGGCCGGGAAGGAGGCCCCGGCGCCTTCTTGTGGCCACCCTGGGTACAACACCCAGGCTCCTGGAAGGTCGCCGCGGAGCAGAGCGACGGACGGCAGAGCGGCGTTTGGGTGTCCGCGGAGGGGCGGTGTGCGCACCGCGGTTCTGCACGCTGCCCTCCCGCGCTGGCCCTCTGAGGGACACGGGTCCAGACTGAGCCCCCCTGCCTTTGGTGGGCTGGTGGGCAGGAGGTCGCGCGAATACACCCCAGGGGAGGAGTGGACGGTCCTGGCAGAAGCGTTTTTAACAGGCCAGAGTACGCGGCAGCCCCCACCCGGGAGCGAGGCGCAGCGCAGGGCGCCCTTCCCCGGGCGGCCCCAGTGGGCTCGCGCACGCCGAGCCCCAGGACCAGCGGGGGGCAGGTCCTGGGGGTGGGAGCACCTCCTCCCAGTGAGGCTGGGGTGGGGAGAGGGGAGGAGCCAGGCCTGTCCCCCGGGCCTGCGCTGCCGCAGGACAGGGCCAGACTAGGGGGCCGGGTCGAGTGAGGGCCTGAGGCGTCCTGGAGACTCGCTCCGCGTTCAGGGAGGGCAGCGCGGCCTCGTCCGCCGCCCGCCCTGCCCTCCGGCTTTAGCGCGAGATGCGTGCCACGCAGGGGAGAGCCGGGGGTGCCCACCCCTCCTCCCTACGCGCCCGAGGGAAAGGCAGGTGGCGGGCTGCGGGCCCGGGAGTCTGGCTTCTCTCCGACGGCGGTTGTGGGGGCGACGGAGCACGGAGCGTGGCCCGCCGCCCCGCCCCGCCCTCCCTGTGGACCCGGTGGCTCAGAGTCTGGTTCTGCTTCTGCGAGGCGCTGCGCCCCCTTTCTCCCCAGGGCGGGGCTTTCGGGGTTGCACGAGCCGGAGTAGGGCCCTGGTGACCCTCCTGCCTCACTCGGCGCTGCCGCCTCCTGCAGCTTCTGCCCCAGCACAGCCGACGAAACTGAGGCTCAGAGCGCGCCCGTCGCAGAATCGGAGGCCAAACTGGACGGTGCGCAGAGCCCGGCGCCGCGCTGAAGGCGGCTCAAGGGGGAGCCAGGGGGCTTGGAGCTCCACCTGGAGGAGAGGGGCGGACGGGCGTCGGTTCCGGCGAGCCGGGCCCGTCTGAGAACTGTGGTGTGGGAGGAGGTGCGCTGCCCGATTTCCCGCTTGAAGGGCAGGTGACCTGGGACAGACGGGGATGACAGCGACAAGGGCAGCCCAGGTGTGGGCCCACGGCGTGGGGGTGAGCTAGAGCTGCTGCTGGGACCCGGGTGGGGGTGGGGGCCGGAGAGCCGCCAAGGCCACGCTACCGAAGTCATCCGCGGCCGGGGCTGTCCCCCCCCCCCCCGCCCCGTAGGAGACAGCGTTGCCACCTGCCCTTCCCGCTGTGCGCAGGAGAGGCTGAGGCTGGACAAGGTTCACGGTCCCGAGGGGGCGGGGCAGGGTTTTCATCTGGAGCCTCGGGAAGACTCGCCCACTGCCGGGGGTGGAGGGCAGGACCCACCAGGCCAGCCTTGGAGACACCCTGGGTCTTGCCACAGGTGACCACCCGTCCCCACCCCACTGCGCTGCATCCTGACCGGGGAGGTGGCGACGGGTCCTTCTCCAGGAGGCGGTGGAAAGTGACCGTCATGAGCCACTTTTTTTGTTTTTTAAATCCTCACCAGAGGACCTTTTTTTCATTGCTTTCGAGGAGGGGGGGAGAGAGAGATCTGTTGCTCCTCGCACTGATGCGTTCACGGGTGTTCTGTCGCTTGTGCCCTGACCCCAAATCGAACCCGCAGCCTTGACGGGTCCGGAGGAGCTGCCCCAGCACACAAAGGTCGCGCGAATACACCCCAGGGGAGGAGTGACACGCGCCCCCTTAGGCGAATATGGGTTCTGAAGCCGGGAATGTTCTGGATGGCTGCCAGGCATTGCCCAGAGGCTTCGCCTCGCACCTTCGGTCGTGGAGACCTGAGGACATAGGAGACCCGGCGCAGAGACGCGGAGGAAGCGCCGCAGAGACGCCGGGCTGAGCGAGAGGCGGGGCTGGCAGTGCGAGTCGGCACCTGCGGCCGGCCGCTCCCGCCGGACTGGGCCGACGCTGGGCCGGGCCTGCGTGGGGGAGGGGC